GGCGGCGCGGCGTCCCGTCGCGCGCCCCGCGGATTTTTCCTGGACCCGCGCGCGAGATTTTATTCTGCGCATGGAAAGCAATTTTGCCCAATCATAAATAGGGCTATTGTGGGGGGATGGTTGTATGCCCGTGGCGCATTTCATACATCCGAGTGTAATGGTAACCAGATAGAGAGGCGCCGCGCGCGGGGGCTATCGGCCGGTGTTAACACCCCGGTAAATACCACCCAAGTACAAGTCGGAATTAGCCGCACGAAAAATTTTCTCCCGCGATCTTTGTTGTTTCTGCACACCCTCCTCTGCCTCAAGGAGCAGCATCGCGCTCGTTTCCGCTTTCTTTCTTTTTTTTTTGCCCCCCCGCGTTTGCATCCCTCGTCCGCATCCCTCGCTCGCTCGCGTTTTATCCTCGCGCGCACGATCGCGAGACCTCTTTTTTTCCACGCGGCGTGACGTGCCGAACGTGACGTGTGTCGATGGTGTGCACAGTGGTGTACGCGAGAGTGTGAATGCACAGCTCCGGTCTCATGCACGTCGCATAGTTTGCGAGTCGCGTAGTCGTAGTCTGGTGCGTGCGTGCGCGCGTGCTCGGCCGAGTGATCTGTGACGTCAGTGGTCCGATCGGTTGTCACCTGTCAAGCCGATGCCGACGTGTCCCTCTCCCCTTATCCCGCCTCGTCTCTTCTCGCTCTCCCTCTCTCACTCTCTCTCATTCGCTCCCTCTCACCCCTTTTCCCTCTCTCTCTTTCTCTCTCTCTATCCCTTAATCCATCCCCCACCGTCCCTCTCTCCTTATCTATTTGACTGTCTCTCTCGCCACCCTCAACGCAACCCGAGGATGCAATCCGATCCACACTACCCTCTCCCTCCCGCATTCGTCTTCACGTAACGTCCTCTCTCGGCTTAACCCACGCGATCGCTCCCTTCTTTCCTCGCTCGCTGCCTCACGGGGATTTTCTCCCTCTCTCCGCGCCCACCCTCATTCGTTTCCTCCTCGTCATTGTGTCAGCTTCTATCTTCAACCCTCTCGTTTCCTCTCGCTCTTTTCACCGGCGATGCCAGTGGCGTAATCAACCCCTTTTTTCGCGGTCACACTCCAATTTCTTCAAGAATCACATCGCATTCGACGAGTATCGTCTCTCTCATCGCTCAATCCGCCAAATGACGATAGTCTTAGCGGCAAGGATCTTATTCTCACGAGCGAGGACAAAGTTTCGCGCGCGTCTTCCGGAGACGCACGGAAGCTCGGAAAGAGGTCGAGGTTTTTCGGTTTTTCGAGTTCCACGCCGGCTACGCCACTGATCGGAACCCGTGTATCTATCCCTTTTCTCTCTCTTTCCCCTTCGCGATCCCTCGCGACCGCCTTCCCTCCCCCTACCCCCTTCCTCTCTCCAACAGCAACGGCAGCAGCTTATTCACCCTGGTCGCCTCTCTGCCGGTCCGAAAACCGAAGCCGAGCCTTCGAGGCTCGAGCGCGACCACCACCACCATCACCACCGCGCCACCACCACCACCACCACCACTACCACCACCACCTCCACCACTACCATCACCAATACTATCTCATCAGTAGCACCAGCATCAGCCGCACTAGCAGCAGCACCACTGGCACCGGCAACCCCACCCCACTCACCACCCATCCACCTATCCGCTCGCCCACCCCCCGATATAACCCCGCTCACTCCATCCGCCGCGACGACCGCAGACACAAAAACAATAACAAATCGATTCGCGGCAGCGATGGGGACGGGGGGGAGGAAGGGGGACGGGGTCAGCGCGAGGGGTAGGATGGCTGCTGGGGTCCCTGATGCGATGCGAGGGAAAGAGCATTCACGAGCGGGAGCGAGGAAGAGCGAAATCGACGGGGATGAGGCGGGGGAGGAGATCCTCCCCTCGGCGCGCCATTTCCTACCCCCCGTCCCCCGTGTCTCTTTCCCTCTTTCTGGATATTGTATAGAGAACGTTATGCTAAAGTATGCATGCACGAGGGTCGGTCCAATGGTCAGGAATCTCGCGAGTTCGTTCGTTCCGCGGCGGCACGTATCCGGACCCGGTACTCGTTTCTCCTTGACTCCGGTACTCGCGGATCGCGGCGACGTCACGTTTTTCCTCGCATTACCGTCGCCGTTGTCTTTCACATCGTCGTCATCATCGTCGACGTCGTCGTCGTCATGAGTGTAGCGGGGGAGGCGGCGCTAAGCCGCGACGCGCGTGAACTTCCGGTCGATCGGTAAGGTGGAGATCGGGCCGGCCTTGGGGCAACTGGCGGGGGATGATCCCAGCGTAATGACGATCGGCCCTGAATTGTTGCGGTAGGCCACCTTAAGGGTGCCCCCAGAAGGGGAGCTCTTCCGATATTTTCGCGATTTTTGCGCGACCGTCGCACTCTCGTTCGAGATTCAATCTTCGCGCATCGCCGATCTCAAGCTAGAACGACTGGTCGCGACTTTCGTTTCAAGTCCGCGAAGAAGCGCATCCTGCTTTTCCATCTGTTCTTTTAATCATTTAAAACGATTATACATGAATCGAGACTTGCTTGACTTATACTGCGGAATAGAAATTTAAATATACGTATCTAGAATTTCGATTTTCGAAGGAGGAAAAGTTCTTTTCCGCACATTTTCTCAATTAGAATAATTAGAGAACAATTATTAAGATTTAAGATTAGAAGGACTATTTGCTGAATTAAAATAATCACAAAATTAATAGATCGGCATTTGCTTATTCGTAGATGATTTATATATTGCACGTATGTAATTTGGAGAGAACAACTAATAACTTAGCAAAAATTATAGTAAATTGTTGAAGTTAACTCAATATATTTACATTTATTCTATTGAATGGGAACACCGAATAAAAAGTAGTTCTCCTCAGGATCAAACATCTCGAATTAACTTTCAAAGATGTTTTTTTATTCTCTAAATTATACATCCTTGTTTTTACGTTAAAATCGATATTCGTTGCAAAAATTTTCTCGAAACGTTTCGTCATAATAATAATATCTCGGGTTATTTTCACTCACTTTACATAATTTTTTAATCGATATTATGTACAGCTTATGTAGAAACGATGAAAGCGAGATGCGGCAGCATCTCGCGCCAGGTACATCTTTAATCTTTCTGCCGTAGATGAGCTGTATTGAGTGACAAGACGTCTTGACTTACGATGAGCACGCGAGTAAACTGATCCATAAAAGGAGCAAGTCCGCGAGTTTTTTTAAATAAGTTCAGATCTGCATTTAAAAGAGTTCAGTTCGCTGAGCGACTACTCTGAAGTATATATTCGCATAGAAACTATTTTGTGAAAATAATATAGTGAGTGCCACAATACAAAAATCAATAGAGCGAATACAGTAACATAAAACGAAGCAAGCAAATATGATACAGAGCGTTTCGACTTGCATTCGACTCGAGATCGCGCATTCTCCAAAGGCGCTAAAATAGAGATTCTGGTCTCCCGAAGAGAGATCATTTTTTATTCCGCTTTTACAATATTTTTTCCCGCATCACTGATTTTCTCAAAATATTTGACCTCTCGCAACTTGAGATCAAATTACTTTCGCCACTCCGCTTACTGCTTACCGCCCGCCCAACCCTTGTGTCTACATTTTTCTACTTGGTAGAATATAGAATGGCTGAACTTTTCACGAATATACTTGAGAACACGATTGTAGGGAATAATTATGAATGTGTTCAAAAATATCAACAAGGTGATTAATTATTCTTTGCTGATCGCGTGGAGCCTTGATGTTTAAGCATGCCTAAATATTTTTAACGAGTTAATTAAATATGCACAATCTAATGAGAGGGACTCTATTATATGTAAATAAGAGTTACATATGAGTAACAAATATATTCGGCTCGTTTGAAAATTCCACGTAAGTATTGATTCGAGGGCCACCACTAATGTCTTCTCATCCCCCTACCCTTTTATACCGTGCAGTCTATACAAACATCATGAGACTCGAGCATTATTTTTAAGTGATTTAATCTTTATTGGGCTTCAAGATATTTCTAACTCTGCATTTAAATTCTTTATTTAATTATTGATAATTTAACATCACCAATAAAATTATTGATAATTATTGGTTATTAATAAAGCATTGATAATACCAATAATGTCAAAAATGCAGCTATCGTGGAGTCAAATTTGAAAATTAAAGCAAATTTATCGTGTGTATCGTGTGTACTTTGAATGCATGCTTGTGTATAAAACGAATAGATTCGCTCTATTTTTATTGTAAATATTGAATTTAATGCCCGATTTCAACGAAACGATAGTAAGATCTAACAAAAATGGAGACAGTGTTTGCATATCCCATTCTTTGAAATTTTGATAATTTTAATTAAAATACGTTTTATTAAAAAACATTTTGGTTTTATACATTATATTAGTTATATATATATATTTTTTTTATTACTTATATTACTTATATTACTTTTTATTACTTTTGTTATATTTTTTTAACGATTTTTTTTTTTCAATAAAACACTTTGTAGCAGCACTTTCCGTTTTTTTTTACAATATTACTTCAAAGGAAATGGGGTAAGCGATGCAAATACTTTTTCCTCTTGCTTGAAATTAATCTCGATTTTATTTTATGTTGAATCGATCCTTCAGCTGGTCTTTTATTAACGGTCAATTCTGACGAACATTTCAGATGGAATATGGGATCTGGAGTCTTCACGTTGCGGAACTTTGGGGTGACCCGCGTCTCGCCCGAAGGCACCCCCCGATTCTGCCTCCCGGCGCGACGCAGATCCTGCCAAGGGCCGCGTTCGCCCTGAGCGCCCTTCATCGGCCCGATATGCTGCCGCTACCGTTGACGGCGGCGGGGCCGCCCTACGTCCCTATGGAGCTGGTCACGAAACCAGCGTCGGTCGCGTCCACCAATGCCGAGAACACCGATGACACCGAGAACAATACGAACGCTGAAGATGAAGACGCTCAACAACGCGACGACAACGAAAGCAACATCGAAAAGCCTGATCAAAATGATAGTCAGGTAGGAACAGTAATAATTATCATCATTCTAAAATAACTTTAGTGGTTAGATTAATGATATCTATACGTTATTCTTTCATTAAGCAAACAATATATAATATATATTGTACAAAAATAGTTTTGGAATAAAACTGTTTTGTAGAACTCTTGTCAAAATTTGACGACTGAAATTTGATTATTTTCCATATAGATCCGTGTCTAATTTTAATGTTTTAACTTATAAAAAGCGTTCAGGAGAAATCGATGCAATAAACAGTGAGTTCTATTTTTTTTTTCTTTGCACGTGTGTCGATTAGACTTGCGTGCCAAACGAAAGCAACGACAACGAAGACCCCGGTGATGAAAGCGATACTGGTAGCACCAACAGTTCACATCGATCAGCTAACAACAATCTGTCAATCGCGAAGCTACCCGATCCGATGTCGTGCTTGGCTCTTGACAAGGTGAGAAACCTATTTTTCTCAAATATGTCAAAATTGTGCATTCAATATAATTAGATTTAAAATAAATTAACAATTTTTTTGCATAGTAAATTTATAAACAGACTTTCTAGTATTTTTTTTTTACTCGCCGTTAATTTTCAGGAAGGAGCGGTGACGCCAGTTCTGAATGGTTGGGTGCTGGGTGCCTACACGGCGATGCTGGGTAGGCTCTCAGCCGCCACTGCGGCATTAGAAGCGACGGAAGTTCCCAATATTCCTTCCGACAGTGATTCCGAGAGCGAGCACTCGTCCTACACCGAACAGTGCGTAGAATTTATTAATTTAAATACACGTACTCGTAAAACAGAACAATTAAATACTAATTTTTTCCAACAATCATATATAAATATTTTTAAAGAGAGATTATTAAAAATTAGAATGCATTCTAATGCGAATGTTTGACGACGACGACAAAAACGTAACTGACAATAATTTAATTAAGATCGAGAGGCAGCAGCCCAAACGTGAGCAACGCTCATCGCGGCTACTCGTGCGGCTCCTGCGACGTGGTGGCGCCGACAAGACCGGCTCTGAGGAAGCACATAGCCGATTGCCATCCGGCACTGTCCAGTACGGAGACCAGCGAGACGAAGAAGTGTCCACTGGGTTGCGACTTCACGACGAACAGCAGGTGTGAGATGGAGACCCACATGGCAGCGCACGTAGCCCAGGGAATGACGCCGACGGGGAAAAAACGGTCGCTGGCCTTGCAACGCGTCAGGTATAGGTACTCGAACAATTTTATATCTAATTAACTATATATCTAATCAAAGCACTTCGAGAACTTTTCGAGAAAGACTTCGGATTTTCTTATTTTATCTGAAATAGATAAATTAGAAGAGAAATGCAAAGTTTTTTTTTTTACTTTGAGATATCATTACGTTCTTTCATTCCCCCCCGTTTTGCACTGCACTCAGATACGAGAGGGAAGAATATCGCTGTTCGCTGTGCTCGTACGCATGCACGATCGAGAAGGCGTTCCAAAGACACCTGCGAGCCCACGCGAGGGGCAGCGCGCCGGAGACTAGGGTGAGCTGTGCCGTTTGCGGCGCCGACCGATCCTCCGAGGTCGATCTCAGCAGGCATATGCGAAGGCATCGCGACGACCGATACTTTTGCTGCGACATTTGCATCTTTCGCACGGTGCAACTGAAAAAGGTACAAACACTTAATTCATTTCAAATATAATAAACAGTCGGTATCTATGCTCATTATATACAAATTAATCAAATTAATTGATATAAATAGTGAAATTGTAAACTAACAATGAGAAACTTTAATTAATTATTCGCGTAAATTACTCGCACCTCGATTTGAGTTGAATGTATATAATATTCGTATAAATTCAGGATTGACGATGTTAATTATTTTATTATGTCTTACTTTTAAAGCTGATCCAACATCGGCGCATGCACACGGGCGAAAAGCCGCATCTGTGTCCGCACTGTGCCTACCGAAGCGCGCGTCGCGACAACCTGCGCAGCCACGTACGGCGAGTGCACAAGAAAGAAAATCTCTATTGCGACACGTTCAGTCCGCGTGGCATGCTGATAACACCCTCCCTGCTGGCCACCTCGAGGGATACCACCGGCACCGACCTGGTGCAGAGCCCGGCGTCCTCGCCGTCCTCGAATCCAGACACGACCAACTAGCGAAAACGCTCCCGGGAAACGAAAAGAGGAACACCAGCCCTGGGAAATTCACGGGAGAAAGAATCTGGGATCCATGGGTCCTCCATACGTCCTCATTTTGTCAATACTGCGATCTAGATATTAGAATTTACGTGGAAAGGCTTGTACATGTGCTGAACTTGGTAGACAGTCGAAGGAGAGTCGCAATAAGGCGGGAAGTAAAGGCGATTTCGACGCGAGTCGAGAACTATTCGCAATTTTACAAAGAGAGTAATAGCATAAAGCAGAGCTGAGATTTAGTTGTAATTAGTTGGTTGATTTTTTAAGGAGACATCCATTGCCTTTCGCGGTGGACGTCTACTTCGAAAATCGACTGGAAATCACAGTTGAATCTCAGCTCTGCCACAGAATCGGCCGACAGAAGCAATCAAATCTTAGTTTTGCTGTAAATTAAGAGATAAATATAACTTGAAAAATTGGCACTGGCAATTGGCAACTTGCAAAATTGACAGATCGGGAAAGGCGTGAATGTCGGATGTGCTGTTCTCCAAATCAGCATCGGCAAGGCTTGCCTTTTAGACGCTAGGGAACGTATAGGCAATTGCATGCAAATGTCGATAATTTAATGTAACCTTTGAATTCTAATGAGATCTTGTATTAAATATGTAAACGTCCAAGTGTTACATTGCGCAGTCGATTCGATCGAGTATGACGATCGGCTGCGTTCGCCCGTTTCGTCAGTAAACGACGAGCGGGAAGAGAAAGCTGCAAGATGGTGCTAGAATCGTAGACTGGATCACGGAGAAAGACTGAAAGTAGAAACGAATTCACGGCGCGACGTGACGTCCATCTCTTTTACGCTCTTCCGCACTGACCGCCGTGACTAAAAAAAAAAAGAGAAAAAAAAAAAGAGGAAATTACAATTCAGCGAAGTTTAAGACTGCAACTCTGTTCCGGGGATTCTCGTGTTAGACGCCGTGACGCTTTATTGTTTTCTCATTAGCCACTTGATCGCTGAGCATTGACTTAATTTTTCTAAAATCTATAATTTTTATTTCCATTTTTATTTTTTCAGGCTTTGTTGTAATCTGATTTCTGAAGGTAACCTTTATTTTTATTTTAATTATTTAATAGTTGAATAATTAATAACTAATTTGTTACTTTAATTCTAATTCTTCATAGTCAATTATGATTTGAAAATTGTTTTATTTGCGCAGGTTATGCAGAAACAAGCGTATATTTGCTGTCAATATATTTACGCACATCGACAGATCCGAATAGCAGCTTATCTGTGTCGCAGCAGCATCAATGATACTGACCCAGGTCATTGTTTAATGAGATCAATAAAAGTACTGAGTCACGGCGCGACATGTCACGAGAATTCCAGCCGGAATGGAAAGGTGCTATTTTACGAAGGTTCGTTTTAATGTTATGTATCTAATATATAGTTCGCTCTCGCTGCACGAATCGCCAAAATACGAGTATAATCGTTAAGTATTTATTAACGTAAAAACATCGTTATTGTTGTTTGAGTTACCGTTTTTCATAAATATTGTGCGAAAATGAAGCACTATTATAATAACGAAATATTGCATAATGGCAGATGGAACGTATCGTATCGCGTGAGATTAGGTCGTTCAACGTGTTTCGTTTTGCGGACAATGACGCATCCAAACATCTCTATGTGTCCGTTACACTTTTAAATATTTAATTTACAGATCCATAGCTCGAAGAACTCGTACATTTCAAGTTATATTAAAAAAAAAAAAACTTATCCGCTCTCAACACGTATAACAAATTATTTTCAAAAAAATACATCAACTGTAGTCGTCATTGTTTTGCAGAAAAGAATGATGCTCGTTGAACGCGATCTTTTCGCGATCGATACAAGCATTTATTAGTGTACCTTTCTCTTTAGAATTCGAGACCGTCCCCGACGATCGATCGCACGTCGATCGATCGCTTGCTTGTGCGAGGGGGAGAGAACGAACAAAAACTTATTGCAACGGGAATATGTGTCAATTTTTAATGTATCATACAAATACGTTGTAGTCCATTTATAATGCGTGGCGAATGAAACGGCACGAAACGCTTCGTGCACTATGACACGCCGCGATGGTCCGTCGTCTCGTCTCGAGAATGATTATACTACTACGCTACAAACTACAAAGTATACGATGATGCGAAATCGAAGCTGCACGGCACTTCACTCCAGCACATTTCAATTCTTTACACTTCAGCACACTGCATCTGATTTGATCGCCGAGCGAATTAAGTGAATCGTTTTCCAAATTTTCGAACGTCGAGTCTATCATTGTCATCGTTGCTACATTTAGTAAAAATCATCGAATTTTCCAAATACTATTTATTAGTCTTGCCATTGTCGATATTATTTTTGTAAGAAATATTGCGAGCAACATGGATCGTTCCGTGCCAAGTAGCATAAACTTTGGAGTAAGCCGTAATCACGAGGAAATGTGATTTAGATTTTAATTAATATTATATTACATAATTATATATATATTAAATATTAAATTATATCTTATCTTTTAGGTATACGGATGACCACTATAGTAGTCAGGATAATTACGATTGCGCGCGCGGAAGTTGGTAAAAACATTTATTGCAGATTATATGTATAATGATGTAAATTCGTTCGATTCGAAAGCCGGAGGGGATTTGACATGTGTGTGCATAGCTCACTCGACTATGCCAACCGAATTGTCAGTTGTATATATATATTCCACTTTCTTGCTTTAGTGATGCAGCGGATTTCAATGCGGGATTTTTTGTAATTTTACACACAACGCGCTACTCTTTTTCATTTCCTCGGCGCGTGTGTTTACTTGTTATTTCGACGATATGCCGAGCGCATCTTAGCATATTTAGAATATTTATATCGCGAAATGGTTCATCGTTGTGCGCCGCGACGCGTCGCACGGTTTACACGCCCATGACAAAACAAGTTACTCGTTAATTACACGTCCGCAATTAGCGTGACTGGCTCCGTCCGCCGTTAGCTTTTACTTCGACCGTCTCTTACTTATTTCTTTTCTCTTTTTCAATTCAATCACAAAATCGCACAGCTCGAACCGAGCGTTTCATTCGTTCTTCGAAAATGTTACAAGGCAGCGCGACATCTCGCGCGGCCGACAACGTTTTCTGGCGCTTCTCCTAATTCACGAGAACGTAAGTTTACCCGGTGAGTGTGTGCGCGTACACGAAGACGCCTCATTTTACAGTATCGTCCGAGCGATCAGTCTCAGGTGCGACCGAGATTTATTCGCATTATTGTATTACGAGCTCATAACTGATAAGCAACGGCACCGTGCCAAAACATTACGAACAAAAAGAAAATAAATGCGTGCCAAAACTGACCCTGACTATAAAGGGACGAATGATGTTCTATGGGAGAAAGATACGCGAAGGGAGAAAGCTGCTTCGGACGCGCAACGCGCGACCAAAGATTTCTTTGTCGTTTTCGGAAAATCGCGCCACTCAATTCACCATATTCTGGGCTGAATTTTTTTACCTGTGTTTAATCAAATTGGCCTACGAAGGAGGAAAAGGGAAAGTGCCTTAGGCACAAGACATTTTTATCGCAAAATGTAAGACAAAGACGTATAAGACTTTGATTGTACAATTTTACGGTTGTATTATGGTTTATCAAAATTCCTTATTTTTTTATTTTTTCAGGAAACTTTTCCGTTTCTCTTCATTTTCTTTTCTCGACAGGTCCAAAAAAATTCGGCGATAATCGCGAGACGGTGGTGAGAATCCGCAAACGAAGGAGTGTGAACTTGATCGTCCGCTTCCGCGTCCGTCGCAAGCGCAAACTAGTTGTTACAATCTTTTAACTGTTGAATTTTTGCTGTAGCAGTAAGTGTCTTAACGTATACCTTATATAAACTACACGATAATATATTCTATATTAATGTTTCCTAGATTTAAATCTAATCGCTCCGGACGGACGTGTCTACGACGAACGTCGTCGTCAATCGTGCTCTCTTAAGTGAATCGGGACGCTCGTAGTTGGAATCCGCGAAGCAAAGCCATTTAGTTATTTACGTCATTGCAAGATCTTATCCGCAGTATCAAGAATATCAAGAATGGAGAGGGTTAAGTGTTTCAATACGGATGTATTAACCTTTCGATAGGAGGATGTGAATACTTAGAACTGACGGCGTTTATTGAAGGTAAAACATTCCGAATAGAATTTCGCAAGATTTATTCAGGCGATAAATGCAATCGCGTCTCGCAATTATATATTTATTCCTATTTAGCATAAGATGTTCTGTCGTTGAAAGATTTTATAGTATTCATACAATTCTACTTCTAAAATTTCACACATATATAGAACGCTTTAGTAAGGCTAGAGAAAGTTTTGTCGATATTTTACACAATTTCGTTCCGCTTTCATTTGCAAACAATTGTAATTATCGCCTTGTTCTCGTTATAGAAAAGACTAAATGACACTGGAAGTGTCACAAAACGATTGGGCATTAATAGGCTTTCTCGTTCGGCGCGAAAATTGCGACAAGGCGACAAGAAATTCGTCGAAGTACGTCCGGCCGGCCGTCTTAAAAATTAATACAATCTAAATGTGATAATATATTTGCTATTGAATTATGACGTAACGATTATATTATAATTAACTGACACCGCGCGAAAACGTACGAAGAACAAAGAGAGATGAGCAATTTTAAGAGTCCGTCTATCGAACGAAGCTGGACGTTGCGAGCAGGGTGATCAGTATATTAGCACTCTGGAATCTCTTTTTGCGGAATAAATTGATCGGCTGAGCTAGTACAAAGCGATTAGAAAATCAGCATTGTCAAAACCCGATCGAAATCGACACGTAAATAGATGTGTCATTGCTGAAAATTTAATTTCTTGCACTACATTTGGTTTTTTTTTTTATTAAATCTCGAGAATAATTAAGACAAAATAATGATAGTAAAAATGTGTTTAAATTAGCGTAAGAAATATTTTGGATTCGCAGTAATATTTACATGATTTCTCATGCTCTCTACATTATTGACATATTAATCCGCATTATGTCTTGATATCCTCATCTGTATTCCTTATTAATTTTTTCTCAATTCTCTTTCCACAAACTTCTCTTTCACGCGCAAAGGATTAAAAGTGAGCTAATTACATCACCCTCTTTGACTCCGGCAGGAATTCGAATAAAAGTGCGAAGCCGCGTCTTGCTTGCCAAAGAATAAAGACTCTTGCGCTCTACGCATAATATATACACACAAATATATAATTATATAAATGTACGTGTATATGTGTGAGTGTGCCTAAAGATTTTTTCTTCGGACTAATCTCTTACACTTTCTATGTCACTGTCTCTCTCTCTATCTCTTTATCTCCTGTGCTCTCAAATCACACGTTTCAATCATAAGCGATTTCGAAAAACTATTATTGTAGTTTGACGATTTCAAATTACACGACAGACCCATGATGACGCCTCGTATCTATCGTCGCGTAACTGAGTTAATTATTACAGTTATTTTTATTATTGTATTATTAATTGTTTGATTGATTTCTGCTTTACTCGTTAAAACTGCAACAATATGTAATATGAGTGTTAATTGAAATTTCTGACATGGGTTTGATACAAATTAATTCAAGAGAATTTTTTATTACTTTCATTATAAATATATTTCTGTTAATATAGCTAATATTATTGGGGCTTTGATTAAAGATAAAATATTTATTTGCAAAATGTACGGTACGAGGTGTCGAAAACCTATTATTAATTTCGATAGAAACGAAGACAGGAGGTTGGACCGTTTATCTTAGCCTTCAACCGATAACCTTCGCGAAAATCTTATACATCAATTGACAATTAATAACAGAATTATGTGCCAAATTAGAAAAGAATTTGTTGTACGCAGATTACAAATTTCGAATTTATTCTAAGAATAAATGAAAATTCTAACAGCAAAGATGAAAATAGTATTCAATGGATTAAAAATAAATTAATTACACACAGTGAAATAACTTGCAGTTCTACTTGCATTTAAAAACACACGAATGAGTAAAAGTATCTGTAGATTTCCGTCAAGAGAATCTTTTTATCACGAGTCTTTTTATCAAGTTGCGTTATCGGTTGAGGACTGACCGCATTGTTTAACGATTGTCTCTCTGTGTTCCGACATAATAGTAGATATTCCGTCGATCGTTCCTCTTTATAAAAATAAAAAAAAGCACGCAGCCGCTACGCAGCGCACGCACTCGCGATCTCGGCCCAAGATGACCGCGAGCGATCTCACTCTTCTCTGCAAAGTATACGAAAGTAAACGCGCGTTCCAATTTCGCCTCCAGCTCTCGAGAGAAAAAAAAGAAAGACAAGAAAATCGGAGGTACTCACATCACGTGCTCACCCACGAACTCGCGCTTGAATATTTTTTTACGATTTTATGGCCTAAGCATTCGGCGTCGAGCCGAAAATGTAGGTACTCTTTACGGGTCTGCGCGGTCGACGCAAATCGATTGCGATAAATTAATCTTACGACGGTAAGGGGGATTATAATAAAAGCGAGTTGCTCGCGTGATTCAAGATGGTGAGTGCCGATGATCTCGCGTTCGCAAAAATATTATAATTCTACAGTAAATATTCTTAAATTCTCCCTTAGATAAAATTTGTACATTAATTTTGCATTATGTAAAATTTATACATAATTCCTAAATTTGTATTTATGTAATTTGTAACAATTTAGACTTCTTCTTTTATTTTCCCCATTTTCTGTGATTTTTTTCTCATTATCTGTCCATCCGTTCTTATTTTTTTTAATTATTTCAATGTGGATAAAAATAATTTTTATGTATAGAAGTTGATAGAAAATTTTGTCGACTGTTACAATCGCTTCCTCCCAAAAATCACCAATTCGATCATTGTATTAATTAATATATTAATTTCCAAAATCTATGATGGTATAACAATCTGTCATTGAATGTCCACCAAGAGATCATCGGCGATCACTGAATCGTTTTGTCACGCGTTTTATGTATACGGCTTCTAACATGTGCGTGCGTGCGTGCGTACCTGCTTATATGTAACGATCAATTTTAAGGAACTAATTAACGAATAAATAGTTAAACTTGTCGTCACCATTGTGATTTAAGATAGTAGAGATACCCGCGCAAGTCGCTCAATAGTGCAGGTGCAACGATTATTCCTCGGTAAATGTTAAAATCTTATCAATTAATGCAATTAATTTGATAAAATTACTTAAAGAAAATAACTTTATAGTTAGAAATTTCAGATATTCATACAATCATGATGCAAAATAAACTGCCATCCGGAAAATGGAAATTATATTCTTGTTATCAATGGAAGTATTATTTAACTTCATTCGTATTTTCTCCGTATTCTCTTTTATAATATCAAATATATCTATAAAATTATACTATGATAAATTGTTGCAAATTGTGTGGCTTGCACCTGCATGGAGGACCCTCGGCGGGGAAACGTTTACCTGTTTGTATAGCCAAAGTCATTATTTGTCTTTGGCACGATAAAAATCTTAATAAAGGTTTCATTAAAATATTCTTTGTCGAACGATATCTCTCGCCACTATCCACTAAATCTTTCCTACAAAAATTATTGTCAGATGTAATTGTTATATTTTTTTTCACAGGTTGAGCTTTGATTGAGATGGTTTGCAATCTTCCGATGATGGATCCCTAATTCGCATTCGCCTTGATATCTACAATTTATTATTAAAGATTGAGATTATAAATAGCCAGGTAAATAAGGACATCTTATTTTATTTTTAACTCGCAACGGGTTTCTACATTTCCTAGAGAGTCCGGATAAAAAATTCTGCATACGTAATTAATCTATTCTATTAATTAATGAAGTTTCGTGTTTTGCATTGTACGAGTTTGCGACTAGTTCAGCTGCAAAGCTAATGATGCATTCCACGTGCAGTTGCAGCGGCAGCCGCGGCAATTGGTGCGGCGATGGCGTTGGCCTGCCCCTCTCCTCGGATCTTTTTCCACCACCGGGTGGCACAGCGACGGCGATGGTTGTGTAGGCGACGAGAGCGCAGTGCCGCGTTAGTGCAGAGACACGAGTGTGCGCCGTCGTGCCGAAAACTATACGGTCGTTGGGGCTCTTTTACAATCTTATCGCTCTACACGTCGTCGCTTTTATCTTCGCATAACGACATAAGTGTCGCCGAACTTTGCGCGAAAACCGGCGCGAGGTGCGACTGTACGCATTGCGGAGCATCCCGGCAAAAAATGTGCTCCGAAACGTCGTGTTCAACGCGGAGAAAGGTGGATATCCGCGCTGGCAAACTGTGAAACCTGGGGTCCGGCTCGCCTGTTGTGTGCGCGCTCTCGTGTATCAACGTGTGCGCGCGCTCGCTCTCGCGCGCGCGTCTTTCTCCGCTCGCTGCCGCGCACGAAGTGTCTCTTTAACTCATTAACGCACTCGGCCAGCTCGTACCGAGCTCTCGTTTCGATTCTCCCGACGTGCCCGGCTTTTTGTTTACACGCACATACGATTGGTACATACATTAGACAATTTTAAACTTTCGAATTTATAAAAAAGTAATAACTGGCATTGAAATGACCGAGTTTTTCAAGGATTCCGCGTTCGTACTGTTTTATGGAAATAATACGAGTTAATGCCACTGTGACTTCCATGATGATTCATTCGCGCGAGTCGACACGAATAAGCATGGACATAAAATTTTTCAGATAACGCGAGTCATCATAATACATGCGATCGAGTACACCAACGATAATGAGTCACGTGCGTTGATGAGGAGAAGTTGTACGACGGGCCGACACAGTGGACGGAATGTTGATTAATGATCGAGAAACAGCCGTTGACCCGCATAGTTCAAGCTCAGTAGGGACTCTGAGCTCGAAGAAATAAAATGCTGTGATCTCAATGGACTTGCTGCGTGGAAACGGGAGCAGTGGTCCGAGAAGAGGAACCAGAACCATCGTAGAAAGGGACAGTCGTACCGTGACAATGGCAACGACCAGGTAGGTTTCTGACTTGCGTTGCATTAACGGAGCGAAAGGCATCTCCGACGGATGTGATTCTCCAAAGGGATATTTTCCTAAAGAAAAAAAAAGAGAATATAACTGAAGCGCGCAACAAGGGCGTAACTCCTAAAAATTTGCCACTTTATTTACAAAAATAGTTCCATCAATTCATGCTGCGTACTTGTAACGCTAATAATAATAACAAATTGTGCAATAGCATATTTTAATCTGCATGAAAAACAAACTTTTCGTCACCATGTAAAATACAGATTCCTCTTAATTTGAACTTGAAATTTTTTCTGCTACGTCTATTCTGTCTAAAAACACGCGTGTATTATTGTCATCATTATTTAATCAATTTAAATCCTACTCGATTTTCTTGTCGATTCAGTTTCAGATTCTAAAATGTTCACACACGAGATATTTCTTATCCAAAATTTAAACATAGAATTTCACATGATAATTTTGTGATATCACATTTGATATAACGACATGACTCACGTTAATGATATTATTCGAAAAAACATTATCTCGGCCCGCGAGGGAAGAATATAAATAGATACCGCCCACAGGTGTTTCTGACATAATAATAATTAGTGGCAGCGCGTGCATGAATTGTTCGCGATTGTCGTTCGCAGCTCGAGCCGCAGTTTGAGCCCGCACGATGCGTCTTTGATTACATCGATGCAATACTTTCTAGGTATTTCATAATGAGCCACGTGTTTCGAATAATCCGACTCCTACGACTTGCACAAACATCAACTTATGTAATTAGATAGAGCCCGCTTTGTGCGATTTGCAATTTACTAAAATGCCAAATAGAATTCTATTTATATTTCTATGCTTTGATAGAAAACATTTAAAGAATCGGACATCTAAAAGAAAACATACGAAGAAACGAGCGATTTTAAAAATCGTTTTAGTTGACTGCACTCAGAAATCCTATTCCGGGTGATAATAATAATAATCAAAGAATATTAACCGAAGAATTTCTGAGCGCAGTCAATAGTGGTGGAGTAAAACGATTTTTAAAATCATTTGTTTTTTTGTCCCACTCTATATTTCGTAAATGTTTTTACACGCTATATTTCGTATTTTGATTTCTCAAACGTTTCCTGTGTTGCACAATACACAGAATTATAAATAGAATTCTATCTCGAATTCTGTCGTCAATTATAGATTTGTTTCTAAATTTTTCTCCTGAACACTAAAACGTATTCTACAATAAATAAAAAAAAATTGATAGAAGAAAAGCTATAAGAACTAAAGCGTCGAAATGCACAAAATTTATTACTCTGTATTGTCTTGTAGTAAATTTTTTGTACTTTGACATTCGCGCTTTGATTTATAGCCTTTTTCTGTTATTTTTTTCCTTCTAAAACTATTCGAAATTTTTGTTAATTTAACCTCGGAGATTAAAATATTGTCTGTCACGGAGTATTTCCTATCCAAATATTTGTGAGTTTTAATGCATTATCTATTTAAAAACTCACAATCATAATGTTTTCTGTTGTAACGAATCATCGATCATTAAATTGAAATTTTGTGTTCGATATAGAAATTTTCTAGTATTTCGAAAATCGTTAAATGTTTTATATCTCTATTTGTCTCCACTTATCTCGATTTGTCATCCGTTGCTGCAACACTATTCCTTTGATCTGAAATACGAGTTTTATCTTGAGGAAGTCAACTTATTAAAAGATAACGAGCCACGCTTATCGTTTCACGTTGCAAGTCTGACGAATAGGTTGAGAGACTTGTAAGTTTGATGCGCTAATGTCAGTCGCTCGTGATTCACAGTTTTCGTTAAAATAAGCACGCTGTCTCATTGTTCCATAATAATGAGCGGTTCTATTCAGCAGCACTCTTTTACTCTTTCCAAGAAAATCGACTCTGAAAATACAAGTTAGATACGTGTAGCGATATGAAAATCTATATTTCAGACTCACATCAACTTGTTTGATGACTTAATAGCTTAGTGAAACCATAATTTGTTTTTGCGCGACATCATTCACGGACGCTTATTGCGCTTCAAATGAGTGCCTCGAAAGCGATGGACCGAAGACGCGAATGATGTCGCATGCGCGACACGTAATTATTATTAAGCGCAGAATATAGAATGAATATGATAATGGATAATGAATGCGATGCCGACTTGCCGGCTCGTTGCAAAATAGATACCGGAAGCTACGGGCGTCGGTATCGGCTTTCGGGGCGATGACTCACCCTGGGACAATTCATAATTTCCTTTCCGTTTGTGCGTCGTTCGCTTATTCTGTCATGCGTCCAGCGCGGAAAAATAACAATCCACAGATTAATCACGAAAGCGAATAGTAGTGGTTAATAACGGTGCTTGGAAAACACAGTTCTCGCTTGAAAAACTCTAGAAAGCTTCTCTTTTTGTGAGAACGCTTCTGTTAGAATTTTTTATAATAAACAAGAAACGTGAAAAAATTATTTATATGTCGTTTCTTTATCTGTAAAACATTAAGTATCTGATAAGCCAGAGCTAAGTTTACAACGATTATGATTAGATAAACTAATATGTTTATGCGTGTGCATATTAGTGCGGATCTTGTTTGTTACATTAATTTGTTTCGTGCAAAAATATAACACAATCGCCTTGAAGCAATAAACCGTCGTAACTGTCGATCGTTATTTTAATCGCAAACTCTTTGATAAATTAAGATCTAGATTTTTCTTTGTCAAAGTATCTACTTGTGCTACTTTTCAACTGTCATATATCGCGTGATACATTCTATACAGGGCAATCTACGCGGAGCATCTTGCTGGTTCACGTACTATGTTTACGAACTATGCATTTATGCCAATTTGTGTACGACAGCTTTCAGGGTGCGTCAACGCACGCTAGCGCATCCAACCGAATTCACTATTCATCTCATAGCCCCAGTTAACTAGCGGAACAAAAATGATCTACTTAAGGGTCTGCTATACCGGTCTGCTAGAACCATCCGCGCTTATCTACTACTACATTTTTTCTCATTTTTATCTCTAACTCCATTACTAAACCATTATTACAACTGCTTTTCTATCATATCTCTAAAAATACTTAACGGACTCTTTTCAAAATAGATGGAAAGTTTTCCCAATAACATTTCACTGTCAAAACTGAGAAGAGGTTTCGGGAAATTTGTTACTGTCTCAGGATCAACGGGCCAATGGCGAGGAACGCGTAGAATTCCGAAGCGGAAACTCGTGAAAAGAATAAGCTTTCGCGATGGAGGTGAAGCCGATACCGAAACCGCGCTCCGTCCTGACGGAGAGCAAGCCGATACCGGCACCGCGAAGAATCCTGCCGCCGGCTCGTTCCGGCAGTCCGACCAGCGAGTCGAGCCAGTCGGAGAAGAGCGACGACGTGAAGTCGATCAGCAGCGGCACGAACGAGAGCACGCGCGGCAACAACGAGTTCTTCCGCAACCTCAGCACGAGTTCGCGCCAGCTGAAGGACGAGATCTCGGAGAAGATGACGGTGAAGGGGCGCGCCGTGTTCTCCAGCACGCGAAACGCGAGCATCCGACTGGAGCGGTCGGTGAAGAACCTGCTGACGCGACGGCTGTCGTCGCTGAACCAGGACGACGCGGTCAGCCAGAGCGGCACGCCGAAGAAGCTCAAGGATCCGGCCGAGGAGGACAGATGCGTGTCGATGCCGGCCGACGACATCTTCAACAGCATCTCGTTCTACAGCCCCCTCAGCGGCAATCTGCGCAGCGTGAGGAACGAGGAGGATCTGTCGGCCGGCAGGCACAGCCCGCCGCCGCCGGTTTATCCGCCACCTCCTCTTCCGGATGAGTCGATCTATGACGAGCTGCAGTCCGTCACGTCGGGAAGCAGCGGTCGATACGACACACTCAGTTCCACGGTGTCCGACAAAGTCGAACGGGATTTTCCCGGATCGTTCCAGCTCGGCTTCGCGCGAAATCAGGTAAAATCGCTGCGAGCGATTCGCCTTCCTCTCTCTTAGAATATCATCTCCCCCCCAAATTGTTATTTCGATATTGGAATAAATAGAATGAAAAACGATTTTCCTTTCGCTCTTATATTCGATCGGCAAAGTCGAAATCCTGGCAAGAATTGAGATTGTTTTATTTAGAAATGATCAAGTGTAATTTCTTAATTGATGAACAAATTAAGATTGTTATCTCCCTTACGTTTTCTCCTCTCTTCGAACAGGGCAGCGATTCCGATCAGAGTTTGAACCTGTCCGACATCAATGTGACGCTCGACAAGTCTGACACTTCCGCCAAGAGGCTGTCGAGATCGGACTCTTGGACTTTCTACGACACCACGCCCGGCACGAGAGCCGAGAATGTCGACGAGGTGGACAGGATATCCAGCGTAGAAGAGGAGAACTTGGAGAAGTCCTTCGAGAGGGAGGTGTCGATAATAGATCGAAATTCCTGCGCGTCCAATGAGAGCCACGCTTCCGTCCAGAATTCTCTCTACGAAAATTTGGCACCGCCGAAGATTGATTCGCAGCAGCAGTCGATTCCCCCGGACGTCAGAATGCAGAGCAGCAAGTCGCTGCTCTTCGAGTTCGATCCGTACGCACGGACATCCGAGGACGAGAACGTGTACAGCAATTACGAGAACAACGATTTGATGCTGCTGGAAGCTCTGCTGGCCACCAACGACTCGCACAGCGCCGACGCCGAGGAGGAGCAGGAGGACAACGACCTGGCGCATCCTGATATCGGCCTGACACCGCCGGAGCCGCCCAGGAGATACGATTCCCTTCCCAAGGACGAGTGCGAAACGGAGGAGCAGCCCGACAAGGTTCAGGCCTCGAACAAAAATCCGCCTCTCTTGCCGAAACTAGCGCATTTGGTGACCAAGAAGCAGCCGGCGGTTCCTCCTCGCAAACCCGCGAGGAAACTTCCTCCGGGCAGTTCTTCGTCGCAGGCTGCGACGGCGACCACGCCGACGACGACGCTTGCCAATAACATCGACGAGAGTACCACTGGTCCTTCGTCGGGCGCGAAAATCGCCGAAGACCATCGCAAAGTGAGCGTGATACAAAAACTGAGGAAGCTGCGACAGGATTCGACGGTGCACACTATCAATTCCAATGTGATTAGTTTTGTGAAAAGCGGTAGTAAATTATTGTCCAGGACTCGCGAGCACATCGGCGAGTCCGGCTCGAGGTCACCGCGAATGGAGAGGCCAAAGGTCAATGCTCCGCACAACGCGGTCACACATAAGGGGATCGTGTACAGGTATGGCGCGGCGTAAGCTTGCGCGAGAGATGTATTTAATATGAAAATTTCCATTACGAAACTAACGAATCAAATCGTTGACCAATTTATTTCTGACAATTATCAATGATTATTAAAAAAACTCATTTAGAATCATGAAAATGTTGCAACCTTCATCAATTTCCAAGTTTCATCATTGTCGTTACGATGAAAGATCAATGTGAATAAAATTTATTTCGCAAGAAAATTAAGAAAAATGAGTGTGAAAGAAACTGTCAAAGATTCCAACGTGATTTTAATAACTGACTGCGATTAATTCTAATTTAATTTTAATCACTGAACAGTAATCGGTTTAAATTGAATAACTAATTGTGTTATTTTTTCCTGTCGAGGCCTGGAATGGGTATGGAGCGGGCCAAGGACCTGGTACCGAGAGTGGCGGTGCTGCTCGATCGGAAATTATCGTTCTACACTGACAACAGCATGTCAACGCTAAAGGAGGTCGTGGAACTAGAGACAGTGCACAGTATTCATTTGCTGCAGGATGTCAAGTGAGTTCGTTAACTTCACTTTATAAACCGCTATATTCATTGAAAAATCTCTTCGCGTGTTTTTCAACGGATAAAAATTTGCTTTTATTTTTATTATAAAAATTGCGTTATCCGATTTATCGAAAGCGCAGCGGTGAACTCGCAGTATTGCATTGAGGATTTAGGTATCTCCCATACTTTTCCGCGACTTCGAAGACTGGAGATCTGCTGATCTCGATTCCGATTCAGTAGCTTATTATGCTTAATATGACTCACTCGCTCGACATATATTTACATCGACGCGACCCGAAGTGTTAACGGGCAGACCGCTCCCCTCGCAGGCGTCTTTCTCTTTGCAAGAGAGAACTCAAGGTCCTCTTTGTTAAACGGGAAGAAAAGAATTTCACGAGAGAAGATCGCTTCTCGAGCGTAACGACCTGACCTTGCGATCGCGCCGGGGGAATAGATTATTCCTTAAGCGCAACGCGCTCAATTTTTTCCTAAAAAAAAAATCTCCAACCTGAACGACAATGCAGTTTATATAAATTTCCAAATTAATAGCATATAAATACGTGACCTCTCGATAAAACGCGCAATCTTCGCCGCCGCTCTGCACCGGCGTGTCTAATCTGTATTTAACGCCGCGTATCTTCATTTCCTTTCGGCTCGTCATATGACTGGCTCATCATGCGCGGCTGGCTGGCTCGCGATTACTCGATGAAGATAATTTTGAAATATACGCAGGACCGTGGATGGCGAGACGGTGCATTGCGTGGCGATTAGCGGCGAGGGCAGACCGAACGTTTTCTACGCGAAGGGTGCTGCCGAGAGGCGCGTCTGGGCACAAAGGATCCTCGGAGCCATCACGCCGATCTTCCCCACGAGGTACACCACCGAGTTCACGAGAGCGAGTTGGGCCTATTTAAAGGTATACACAAACAAGCGGAACTTTCATTTCGAACAACAAAGGAGGCTTGATTTTTAATCAATGATTGAAAATAGTGAAATGAGAAACAGACGATTCTATGTTCAAAATTAAATTGAACCAATTGTACTTCAGAAACTAATAATGATTTCAGCAAGAACGTTTCAATTATTTTTAACAAATATAATAAATATAACGAAATTAATAACGAAAATGAATAACAACCAGAATAATTGTATTAATTATTGTTAGTCGAAGGATAATTCGTGAAGAGATATACTTAATATTTTTGCATCTCTCTTGTTTCTTTGTTTCTCAATGAATTTGAATTACGATTTTAAAAATTTTGATATATAAAAGTTAATATAGATTTTGCGAAAAATAATTTTGAAAATGTTAGTATAAAAGAGGAAGAAGTGGATTACCATAAGAATAAAAGTAGCACATGTACATTTTTACATTACAATAGAAATGATAAAAATTATCTGTTATGTTAAACTACGCAACTTATATTAATATATTATAATAAATTTTCAAGCCTACCGTAGTTGTCGTTTAAGGTACGTTAAAATTCCGTTTTATTCGCTGTTTGATAGCACATTTTCTCATCGATATCTGCATTTATTTCAACTGTAATTGCGGATAATAACTAAAAAAAAATCATATTTCAATATAAAAGTTCGTAATAATATCTATTTGAAAATATTAAAGTTTGACCTCTTACGAATCTGAATTGCTTGTTGCTAACTGCGTTCGCATTTGCGAGACGGAAGCCTGTAATGCTTGAACATGCAAATTCTGCTTCTACAATTTCGCAGACCTTCTGAATATTTCACGTTCTCGTTCACGTCGCCGCCGACAAAATTTAAAAAAAATCAAAAATATTTTTCCTTTCTACACAATTACTATGTATCTTACATTCTTTTAGGAAAGCATAACGGGTACGTGGTTCCCAGCTTGGGTTCTTCTCCAACAAAGGATCTTAGTTTACACTAAATCCTTGGACTCTGCATCCGCCGTAAACTTCGAACATGTGGATTTACGGAAAGCGCGTTGCATTGGTAAGTTAAAAACTTCAAACGTATGTAATTCAAACTATTTTCAATGGTAGATTAAAGTAACAATTCAAAATATAAGCAGAATAATGTGAAATAAATGGATGGAAAGATTAAATTTGCTTTTATAAATTAATTACGATCAAATTCATCATTAAATCTAATCTATCTGTTCTCTTGCGTCTTTATTTGTGTCTGTGACACGTCAGAAAGTTGACACATTTGGCTGATTATTAAAATTCTCAATATATTCATAAAATAGTTATATGAAAAAGAACCGAAATCATTTATGCGACAATTTCATCAATATACATATTTCAAAGATTTCTTGTTGCAATTTCAATGAACAAAGGCATTGCGAAAATAAGATTACGATCGATTAATTTGCAGTGTTGCGCGAGCAAGAAGGACCGATCGCCGAGTGCGGGCTTGTTTCGGTGGTGGCCGTCGACGCCGGGGGTGCCGGCGCCCTGCACATCGCCACGCCAAAAAAGCACGAGGCGACCGCTTGGAGGCACGCGCTTTATCAAGCGGCCACCAATTGCGGCCCCGCCTTGGAGGAGCAGCAGATTACACAGGACAATGTGCCCGTCATCTTGGACAAATGCATCAACTTTATCTACGCGCATGGTAATTAATGAATCATCACCTTGCGACGCCATATTAAAAACCGCTTCGCGGCGTCACGAGTGTCTGATGCACAAATGTCCCCGTAACTGGCGGTCATTAATTTTCACTCAGCAATCGCCAAATCGAGTTTTATACGTCGGAAAAAAAACTATTCCACATTTTTCAACTTATTTTCTTAGATAGAATCATCACCTTTCCAATTAATTACAGAATATTCCGTGTAATGCGACAAAATCTTAATTTATGTTATCGTTATCGTCAAAATTAATGACACCTGCGAAACGTTTTATACGATAAGTTCCTCGAAAGAATCGATTGCATCCGAAAGCGCGCACGAATTAGACCTACTAATTATTAATTGCTTTCTCAGCACTGCATTCTACAGAACGCAGTCATTGAATATTGCTGAACGCGGTTCTTGCAATTCAACTAAGCAAATTTAATAAAAATCTCCTTATCTCTCAGGCATGATGACGGAGGGCATTTATCGTCGCAGTGGATCGAGCAGCGCCGTGGTGAAGCTGCTGGAGGCTTTCAGGAGAGACGCGTGGGCCACGCAGATCACGCGGAATTCGTACACGGAACATGACGTTGCTACGGTTCTCAGAAGATTCCTGCGGGATTTGCCGAATCCATTGTTTCCCGCCAACATTCACGACAGGCTCTGCCTCACCGCAGGTAACAAACGGTTCGCCCAGAAAGGATTTATGGCACGCGAGAAGGGTTTTTTTAAAACGTTAGCTGACGAAATATTATTTTCTAAAATTATCAAGTATTTTGGATAATTTATGCGAGATTGTATAATGTCGAGATACACATCGTATAAATATCTAAAGAATAATCTTCACAATAATCTATATATGATGTCAAAACGTTATTGAAATGATTGAAAAATGAGTTTTGTATTGTTTTGTCTAGTAATCAGATATTCGTTTTATGTCACTGCTGTCAGAACGATAATTAAGTTCCTCTAAAGAGTTTCGATTACATCGGTTACATTCAGAACGTAACGCTAGACCCATTAATGATACTTGATCTAATCGTTAATACGATATTTAATTTCATTATGTGATATGATCAATCATCTCTCCGTGCATTCGTCCTTTGTTTGACTTCCTTTTTATCTTTCATCTCTATTTCTGCAGAATTGAGCGAGGAAAACAGGGTGGCCACTTATCAGAAGTTATTATCTACGTTGAATCCCGTGACGACGGCGACGCTTCGCCGGATCCTGGCGCACCTTCACGGTCTCAGTCAGCAGAGCGCCAGGAACCTGATGACCGTGGAGAACCTGTCGGCGGTTTGGGGCCCGACCCTGATGCACGCCGGCGAGAATAGCGCCGAGGCATGGAACCGCGCGGAAACCAAAGTCGTCGGTGATCTCATCAGGCTGTACCCGAAACTTTATCAACTGTCGTCGGCCGATCTGGCGAAGGAAGCAAAGATGCTGGAGATCCTGGAGAAACATCACGTGTCGAATAATGGACCGCGAGGCGCCCCTTCGGGAGATCTCAAGATCTGGATATACCTTCTGTCGCGATTCGCAGAATGCGTGAACGTTACCGTAAGGATCCTTTTTCTTTTATTGATTTAATTAGGATTTTCCATTTTTTTTTTTTTTTTCTCATCATTTAATTAGTATTCTTTATCCATTGTTTACTTAATACTTCCGATTTATTTCTCATGAATTTTGCATCGTGTAATATCGTGAAATAAAATGGAAAATCAAAGATTATCAACAAGCTCATATTTTGAATAATTAAGATTCAACTACATATTATATAATCTTTCTAATTAATTAACTGATCGATTAGATCGGGCCTCAGAAGACCGCGTTCGACGTATGTCTAGAACTCGCTGAGAAAACCAACTTGCCGCCTCATGAATTGTGTCTGGAGGAATACACGCTCGACGGCGCGCTGGAGCGGCCGTTGCATCACAACGAACGTGTCCTGGAGACGGTTGCGAGATGGGGATACTGGGACCCGGACGACAGGAAAGATAACGTCCTTATCCTCAGAAAAGACCGATTATACAAGGACATCATACCTCTGGTATGTGTGCCACAAAAGAAACATATAAAATTCGCGACGTGTCGTGACGTAAATGAAGTTTATCGTTTTATACGGCTTTTACCCACGACATTAATATTGCATTTCCCACAATCTAAATTTATAATGCGGTGAAGGTCCGAAAGCGTATAAAGCGCACGCGAAGTTTATTGCGCGGATCAAATAGCGTGATTCCAGAAGCTAAAAGAAGGATGCAGTCTGCGCGCGCTGCGAAAACAGGATACGGTCCAATTGAACTTAATTATGCGTCGTCTGACTCGCTTTTAAACTCTCTCACATGCGCATTTTGTAGGTTAAACCGCCTATGACGATCTCCGGGGAGCTAAAGTTCGCAGACACCAGGACGAAACATTTCAAGACGTACCTCTTCGAATTCAGCCAGGCGAAGCTCTGCTGTTACAAGGACAAGGTGTGCTCCGTGAAGCTACACGAGTGGAAGATAGAGGATATCGTTTGGTACTTGGGACACGAGCCTAAACGTCATCCACAGATGGGGTAAATAGTGTGAAGTTATACATTATAATTGCAATAAGATTTCTTGAAAAATACTTACCGCGCTATTTTATTCCTTTTGTTACAGATGGGCCATAACGTTCATCATTAAGAACAAGAAACCGACGAGGTGAGAATATCGCAAATTTATGCCAATAGACGACAAAAGACTCACCGTTTGTTATAACTTAAGAAAGACGTATCTTAAACGTTTGCGTCCAATAGCCTTGATGAATATAATGGCAGACATTTCGTTATTTTTCAGATGTAAGGACAGTCCGTATTTCGGAAACATCTTAGCCGGCACATCCAAGGATGAACAATACAGATGGTTAGCAGCTATGCTCTTCGGGGAGTACCAATTGAATCTCCGACCTTCTGCGGTGAATCTTATGGATCCATAACTGTTTAGCATGTTTTTACAATTCATCTAGTGCTTCCAAAGTGATCGACAGGTGATACACTTCTTACTGCGTATCGCGCCATATAAACTCTAAACAAATATAAAAGTGTGTACAGTATTCTGGTATTCATCGATTCATAAAAAATTAGTACATTTCATAATTTTATTTCCGTACACGGTGTCCTAGGAGTTTGATCTCGTTTAAAAAGCGCTTGCATAAATTGAATCATATATTCTATTACGAATCAATCAGCGCGACTAATGAAAAACGTCAATAATGCTATAAGAGTCTATTGTAATTAACTAATATATTAATTATCACGTATGAGTGGCGAATTATTCAATAACTCAACAGCATCTGTAGAAAAATAAAATTAGTAAGAAATACAATCAAACAAGTTGTATACGATATTTTATAATAAATGCATTTTTAATATAACAATGCAAAATTAATATATAAACAACGTGTGCTAATAAGCTGTGCATTTAACTTGGGTTTTGAAATAAAAATACGATTTGATATTTATTTTATATTTTTGTAAATTGTAAATATTTACATTTATAAATGTATTTATAAATGTATTAATTCTTTATATACATATACATACATACATACATCTTATAAAATCATTTTAGACAACTCGGAACATTTGTTTTTATTTTATAGCCAATTTTAGAAAAAAAAAAATTTATTTATATAAACCTTTCTATTTCTACAAAGAGAACATAAATATTGAATAAGTATCAAATTATTTCTTTACAATAAAATTTAAACACACGGTTTATTAACATACGTTTTTCATATACTTTTGGATTTTACACTAGTTAATCTATTGTTAGATTTATCGACGAGATATATTAATAAAGAATAAAAAAATGTGCTTGAAATCAAAGGACCTGTTGAATTTTGAATTTTTGAATGAACGTTAAGTTGCATTGTTCGTGTTGTTTATTCAAGCAATTGTAGCGACTTATAACGAAGTTTATTGGAACTAAGAAATATAGTTTTTTCAGTAACATAACTCAACGTCAAGGCAGACGGATTTTTTTAGTTGTAATGAAGTTCGCTATAAGACGCCACAGTCGCCATGCTCGATTAGAGATAGTACAAGTCAATGATAAGTCGGACAAAGCTTTTTTTAGTAATAAAATTCAATATCAAAACAAATTTTTATTCTTTATTATATCTTTATTATATTTTCGCGAATGGATCGAGTAATTTTTTTATGATGTATATAGAATGATTATGAAAGTTTACTTATACGGTATTTTGCGATCATAATAATGATGGGTATCAAATCTATGTAGTTCTTTCATGGGAAATTTGTACATTTTGGTACATAAACATTGTGAGTAAACACCAGACATGTACTGAAGGACTGTGAAGAACAGATAGCTTGTTGCAGTTATTTTTCTAGTACGTGAACACAAGATAGTAATTTCAATTGTGTATATAAAACCTGAATATCAATTAGAAATGGATAATAATTACAATATGTTTTTCTATGCAACCATGTGTCACGTATGCAAGCAATTCGGTGAAGACGTCCGTTTACAAAGATGTGCTGCCTGTAGAATGATTGCCTATTGTAGTCAACAGCATCAGAAACAACATTGGCCTCAACACAAACATTTATGCAAAGCTATAAGAGATGTGCTTAAGGATCACAAGATGAAAATCCGTAATGTAACTTCGAAGGAGGAGTGGATTAAAGCAAGAATGAATTTCATGCTGATGGTGATACTTAAACTGACACGTCGTCTGGACATGTACGAGGAAGAGATGTTTAAATTCCCAAGGGTGTGTTTAATCTGCCACGAAGAAAATAGTCAATTGCTACAAGATTGTCACAACTGCAGGGCTGTCAGTTTCTGTACAAAACACAAAAACAGTTCCATACATAAAGATATGTGTTATCTTTTAAAACTGTGCCTTAATTTAGACATATTAGCTATGAATGTTAAACGAGAATCTTTAAATTTTAATTGTTTGCAATGTGTTTTTGATAAGAAAATAAATGATTTTCGACATATGAGTGATTACATTGATACTTGCATAAATACTTGGTCTTGTACTTTGGAAAAATCTGATGTGTTAGCGGCTGATCAATCGGAACATCTCACAAGACCCTTGACGTTACTTTACGGAATGCAGATGTTAGATTATGTTCCAAAATACAAAAGTTTAGTCATTCATGTTATAGCTGCAAGCAGTGTCGAGCTTGCTACTTTAGAGGCTTGGGAAGTTCTATTGCATTTAGTGCCAGCTACAGTAGTATCTGTAAAAATTATAATGATAGGTCCAACAGTATTAGAAGGAATTTTTGCCTTATCGGATATTTGTTCCAACTGTGTGTTGCAAGAAAAGAAACTTTTATTTGAATGTCACAGCACATTATATGTGGATTATTTAAACAGTCCAGCATTTGCAAAACCAGATTTAGTTGTAGGATTCAATGCAGGTATTCATGAGCATGAAATTGCATCTTTTCAAGAAACATGGGCACCGTCCATAGGCGCATTAGCTAAACAAAATTATCCCTTGATTTTATCATGTTATACACAAAGTGAAGTAGAATTAGAGATAGCTAGAATAAATGAAATCTTGGGTACTAAAACAGATTGTATCTATCGTGGAAAAAATCCATTTGCTAGTTTAAGACCACACAGAGATTGGACTGAGAATCTATTTTATCACAACAATTATATAATTATCTATAGAAACCTCTGTCCATAATAAAAAAATGTAATTAAGCGATTGCCTCAAATCTATTTTTTTACTTTTGTATCATTATTATGAATAATATACGCAATGTACTTTATTTTTTACAATTATACGTTTAATAAAATAGATATTGAATACATTTAAAATGATAATTTTTTTCTTCTGAAAGTATCTTCTATGATCTGACATATGCATGTATTTCAGTTCAGTGTAGTGTGGCCAGATTTGAGACGCAACAGCAGCAGCAGGAATGGAGGGCACGTATGCACGCAAGCCACGTATGCACATGTGAGCTCCGCGCTTCTCATTTTTTTGTATCTTATAGAGAATCATATGCATGAAATAAGATAAAATAGATTCTCGTTTAATGTATAAACGCCAAATTTGAGAGGCAAGCAGCATGAGGGAAGGAATACCGCACACCTGCGCAAGGCACGTAGATGTGAATTCCTCTTAAAAAAGCATCTCCAGATGTCTTAAAAACGTATTAAAAAAGACATTTTAAAACGTCCTGAAAAAAACGTCGTTTTTTAATTTCTTTAACGATTGGCATTCTGAATTTTGCAATAAAAAATTTTTCAAAAAAGTTTCAGAAAATTGAACGCGATTAGGCGTTTAGTGGCCGTGCGCGTCCTCCAATCTTGATGTTGTCCTCCAAACTTTTTGTTGTGGAACTTCTGTTCCTTTATAATGTGGAGGGAAAGAGATAAACTCTGAACTAGTGCAGCCTGTCCAGCTATAAAGAACAGATCTTTTAGTTCAGCTTTAACAGCTGATTGTCAACGATGGCAGAAATTGAGTGGCCATGGCAATATAGTTTTCCTCCTTTCTTTACGTAAGTGTCATGAAAAATATATGATTGAAACAAATTTGCAAGAGTGTAAATGTTAATTTTAACGAAATATCCAATAACGGTCTACTTCGGCACGTATATCAAATGCTTATTGAATGTCTATAAACGTCATAGGTTAGGAATCAAGAATGAAAACAAAAATACATAGTTGTATGTTGGATATATAAAATCTAAAAGATTCGACATGGTACATTTACATTTTTATTTTATTATTACAGACTTCAACCTCATGCAGATACCAGAGCTAAACAAATAGCAGCTTGGAAGAATTTAATACTTGAATATTATCGCATCACGAAGCAAGCTGTTGTAGATGTGCGAGAAATTCACACAAATCCTTTATTTAATAACAGTAACATCAATAGTATCCTTTTTATATATCACATCTAAAGACAATTATTCTACTCATTTTGTCGCCAATATGTTCTTTCTGAATTTTACATGGACATATATCTATTTAATGTATCTTCTGTATTTTATTTGCATGTTTATTTACTTAGTAATTATTTATTTCTAACAATTGTTTATAAAACTATATTCTCTCTTTTTGGAGCAACACATTTTGAATTACATAAATCTAAATAATATATTAGTAATAATGATCATTTATTTGTTATTTGAAACTCCTTAACAGTATGATAACAGGGAGATTGCCATCTGAAGCTGTATTAGTGGTATTAGAAGAATTAGGAAAATCAGGAAATGCATCTCCATTAGATAAGAGCAAGCAGAGATGGCTAGTTTATTGGCATACTTTGGAAGAATGGGGTGACATAATATACAACTGGGCACAAGAGAATGGTTTTACTGGATCTGTGTGCACATTATTTGAATTGACACAAGGAGAGGACACAACTGAGCAAGGTAGAATTTGTTTCAATCAATTGTTTGTATTGTTTTTACTGTTATTAAGGGTCTGTAAAAATATGTAGATGATTATTTACAATTCTATCTTGTGTTTTATTTTAGAATTCTTTGGCCTCGACACAGAAGTACTGATTAGATCACTGAAAACATTGGAAGCAGCTAGAAAAGCAGAACTTATTTTATCCGATGATAATCAAGGTGTTAAATTTTTCTAAAGTTTGATTATGCAGGCGTTATTTATACACAATTGTACAAGTATAGATATGTAAATTACATTAAATATATTTAAAGGTATTGAAACTTCTTAATATTTAAATGTACATTTTGAAATAAATTCGTAAACCATTTCTTTACAGTAATGTAAACGAATAATTAGTTATTTTCAAAATATTTAGAAAAGCAGATCTTTGGTTATTCCATGGAAGATAAATTGATGAAAGATAAATTAATCAGCCAGTAGAGTGGTAACGCAAGTATGTTTTTAAGCACACTATGTTATGCTATAGTATTCATTGCACTGTGTGTGTGAGTGTGGACCGGTGTTAATAAATATCTTCTACACATACAAATTATTTAAATTAAATTCTATTGCTTGCAATAATAGAGGAATAGTAGGAGTAATAATATTAAAAGAGAACCCGCCGATATGGAACAATCTGATCAGGTCGAAGGAACGGAGTACAAATAATTACAAAGTAATAACAAGAAAACAATATATAATAAGATCAAGATTGTGTCGCAATAACACGATTGCGATAAGGAAAGATACGAAATAGGAAAAACAATGTGCATGCCGAGCATAGCGCGAGAGAAATATGAAAAGATTAATTGAATTGGAAATTATTTTGACAGATTCATAATTAATTTCTATTCTTTTAATCTTAATTTGTAGACGTTTAATAATCAAAAATTAGTAATTTTTACAAATTTTTGCACACAATAAACTTTCAATTTGTCTTTTAAAGTAAATATTCATTAAACAATCGAAAAATTGTTAATTATTAGCGATAATATAAATATATTGAAAAATTTAATAATTATAAGTATTATTAAAGATTGCAAACATTTTATTGAAACTTTCAAATATTTTATATGCGTTAAATTACATAACTTTTTGTAATGTACAAAATTATGGAAATTTGACGCGTACTTTGTCATATATATTTTATATTACAAAAATATAACACAAGTATCATCACACTGATACGTTCGATACTCTGTAGCGTTTGTAGCAGGAAGCAATGGAAAACAGGAAGATCGAAAATGTGTAATTAATCTTTGCGCGCTAGTCGTTGCGATTATACTACGCTTATATTGTACAATTTAAACACGTTTCCTTCATACAATATACAATATAATAGCACTCTGTGGTGTTTAGAGAATTTAAGTATTTTGATTTACAAAGTACAAATGTAACAATTAATATATATGACAATTAAAATAGAGAAATAAAAATTAAAAATAACATTTAATAAATAAAATATAAAATTACGTTTGAAATATCTGTGTCGTTAAACACGAGAGTTAATCAAATCATGCTACATTGTAGTGTTTTCGGTCACTTCAGACAAATTCCTTACACGATAATTAGTCTGCCTGTTGGAACTGAGTTCTTGCTCTGTCATTGTGGTGGAAGAAGTATGCGAAGTTGTGGTACGACAGTTGTTACTCGTTGATATTTTGCCATACAAATAACTGTTTTCACAACCAAGTCGTTTCAGCAGTAATCGCATGATTCTTCTCTTGCAAACAAATACAATGAAAATGATGAGGCCTTGCAGGCCTTCCATTGTATCCATGATAATTAGAACGTAGAATGGCATTTCCTTCCCAATGCTTTGAAGTATCATACTTAAAGTCCATTTTAGGGTCATGTTTATATCCATCAAGAGGAACAGCTTTAGATACATCATAAATCTGCAAATATATTTATTTTTACATGTCTATATATATAATTATAACCACCTTGTCTGCTTATTACTCTAGATAAAATAATGTTTTCTAAGAATATAAAAAGGATACAAAACAAAGAATTTAATTTATTATAAATGATGTATTATAAACATTTAAAATAATTAATATTTTGTAAAAATAAAAATTTTACAAAATTATTTTTTAACCGTTATTTATATAGATTTAACTAACATTTATAACTAAAATTATTTAATTAAGATAATCTAAAAAAATAAGAGAAGAGATATCAGTTCTTACCTTTGCTTATCATGAGTATGGCGTTTGCTTTCTGCACCTTTTAGAAAACGGTCAGTGTCTTTTGTGACGTGCATGATGTTTAACATCGTAAAAATAAAGAAACATATGTTGCAGATAATAATAACACTTATGAGTATGTCAAAGTATGCAACAAGTGCGTCATGCGCTGAAATAAGAAAATAAAATTCTTATATTATCTGTAGAATTTGCAAACACATAAATTTAATTAAATGTTTAAAATTTAATAAAGATTACAATATGGCGATTTCAAGTCATTTATTATAAAATACGCGACTCCAGGTAAAAATCAAGTCAAAGTAAAATTTTTTGGGTAATTTTCTAAATAATTTTTTGAAAACTATTTTCCAAGAAATAATAATAACTTATCATTCATGAAATATTACACACATATAATGTTTCTATAATTTTTTTTGCAGTTTTTCTTAAGTTAATTTTACCAAGAAAAATGTCAGCATAATATAAAGTATTATATTCCCACGATCGTGTTATAAACTTCAATAAAATATTAGTATCAATAGAAAGTAAAATATGATTATTACCGAATCCGAAATTCGTCTTTTTGCAGATATTTGGTTTCATATTATCCGGCACTAAACGGGGAACAAAGTCCATTATAGCACAAATAATGATGTAAATGCTGGCGATTCCCCACACATAGAACGAACTCATGAGGAACATTTTTTTCTTTGATTGCTTTACGTTTTTTCGCAACAAACTAAATCCTCTGCAACATGTGAAATAATATACTTAACTAATAATAAGTAAGAGACAAATAAAAACATTGGAAATTTTAATTAAAATAATTTTATCTAAATTTAAGCAGAGATTTTCTTTACTGCAACTAATGTCACTTGTGTTAATCTTTGCATGTAATTCGCATGTGTTACACAGACAACGTACAATAAATATATAATTATTGCAACATATATTTGTAGTAGCAAATATATATCAAATATAAATAATTAATATCAAAATAATGATTTTTTTACATTCTAAAGTTATTTAATTCAAAAATTAAATTTATTTTCTTCAAAAAGATAAAAGATTATTTTTTACTGGTTGACATATTTCCTTCAATAGTTATTTGATTATAAGTTTCAAGCTCTTTCTGTGAACAAAATAACAATTAAAATCTTATTTGCTCTCTCCAATAAAATTGTATAAAAGTTTTGGCTAAGATTATTGTACGAAGTACTTGAACACTTACCCAAATGTCCGTAAAATGTCGAAACATATCACATTTTGCCACAGCAAACCCGCCAAATAACAGAAATAGTATAGTAAGGCTGAAACAGTCGAACAAACATATTTTTACACAAACGTAAGCTGCTTATAGATCTGTACATATGTAAAATAAAGATATTATATATTCATTATTTATCATTGCAATTTTAAAGTTTTAATCATTCTGATATTGTTTAATTATTAGACACAGTAAAAAATAGTGCAATCAGTTACGTAGAATAATAAACGCGGCAGCGTTTATTTAAATATTCATACTACAAAAAAATTATTGCTACATTGTTGCATAAACCGTACATTCTGCAACGCAGGCACGAAACGTTTCTTCAAAGTAGTCTTTCTCGACGATTAGAAAGATCGTGTGTGCAACGAACAATGACACGACATGTGAACGCAATGCATATCCGTGCATATTTTGAAGTTCTGAACATATTGAATACACGATGAATGTCATCAAAAGACACAACAAAGATGCTATAAAAACTGCAGCAATAACGTCAACATATATTTTTCTCGATTCTTTAATCGGTTTTTGAATGTTATTGCAGACTTCCCAATTGTGACGCGAAATATTGAAGCACTTAGACATCAACGAAATAAATCTATCGTGACGTGATAAGTTTAAAGAGCTGTTGTCGAAAAACATCGTGTTTTCATTATTCATAATGTCAAATGGAATCTTCTTTTCTTCGCATGAATAATTAATATATATATATGAATATTGGCCAAGAAAGTCATCCAGCGTCAATTTAGGATTGTATTTCGCAAAAATCTCCATCTTCTTTGCATTGCAGTTGTCTAAAACTAAATAACAGCAATGTTGTATGCAAGTGTCGTTACACATTTCATACAGAACGATATTATGGTCGTCATCCTTTTTGGAATTTCCATCACGTACATGCATAGAATTAATTTCACTTTCATTTTTCACAGAATTTTCGCGCAAATTATAATACTGTTTGGTTAATGTTGTCTGGTTGCCTTGATTTCTCATAGAATTTGCGTTAAATTTGTATGGCATCGTTGAATTGTCACTCCATTCATCGCCGTTTGTGAAATTGTTCCAATTTTCTTTGCTTTTTCCAGAGGATGTAATTAACAGCAGAAACACGCAGTACCAAAATGCAAAACTTGGTCGATACATTGTCAATGACGCGTTGAATTCACTAAAATCAATTAGTTTTTTTTTTTAGTCAAATACACTGTTAAAATACTGTTGAAATATTAACTGTAGAAATAATTTTATACGTGCTGGCTTCAGTCTATGACGGTTTTGAAAAGCCAAAGAATAAACTGTTTCAGTAGAAGTATGCGCGAATGCTCATCAAGAAACAGAATGCCAGAAAAACGAGTTTTAAAAATGTTAAATGTTTTGCGTTGATAAGACAGGTGTTCGATTAGTACTAAAATGTTAGCAAGAACGGTGATTGTTAATAATCATTGTTGATCAAGCTTGAGTTCCGGGAAGCAGATTTTCCTCAAAATCTTATGTAATAAGTATAGTATTTAAAAATAAATTATTCACGATATTGGACATTCTTGTAAATGTCCCATCGAAGATTAATAAATAGCTGTTGCCATTCATCTATCATTTGATTATCATAACCGGCTTGAAACACATAGTTTATTTGTGTAGCAAAAAAAAAAAACATTGTGCAGCTTATACAATATAGATTTGCATATCATGCACAAGTACGTTAAAACTAATTGGTTCTTGCATACTGCATTAATTGATACAGTTATAACTTGAATAATTTATGTTTAAGAGGTCTAATAAATTAAAGAAATTTATAAATTCAAAGTTATATAGTTTTATATATTTAAAATTATTTATGAAGAAATATTATAACGATAAAAAACGATAAACACGAATATAAGATATTCACGAGAAACATCTTTCTCTTTGATTGCTTTACGTTTTTTCGTAACAAACCAAATCCTCTGCAACATGTGAAATAATATACTTAACTAATAATAAATAGGAGAGAAATAACCCCATTGCAAATTTTGATTGAAATGATTTTATCTAAATTTATGCTGAGTTTTCTTTACTGTAACTAGTGTCATTTGTGTTAATCTTTGCATGTGCTATACAAATAATGAAATAGTACAATTAATTTGTAATTATTGCAACATATATTCATAGTTGCACAAATATATATCAAATATAAAGATAATTAATTAATATCAAAATAATGACTTTTATATAATAATCAAAATTTGGTAATTCTTATAAATTTTTGCATGCACGCAATGAATTTTTAATTGGTCTTTTAATGTCAATATTTATTAAACAAATAGTCGAAAAATTTATAATTATTAGCGATAATATAATTATATTGAAATATGTAATAATTATAAGTATTATTAAATATTGCAAATATTTTATTCAAAGTTTCAAATATTTTATGTGCGTTAAATTACATAACTTTGTATTATGTACAAAATTATGGAAATTTGACCCGTACTTTGTCATATATATTTTATATTACAAAAATATAAAACGAGTATCATCACACAGATACGTTCGATACTCTGTAGCGTTTGTAGCAGGAAGCAATAGACAACAGGAAGATCGAAAATGTGTAATTAATCTTTGCGCGCTAGTCGGTGCGATTATACTACGCTTATATTGTACAATTTAAACACGTTTTCTTCATACGATATACAATATAATAACATTCTGTGGTGTTTAGGGAATTTAAGTACCTTGATTTATAAAGTACAAATGTAACAATTAATATATATGACAATTAAAATAGAGAAATAAAAATTAAAAATAACATTTAAGAAGTAAAATATAAAATTACGTTGGAAATATCTGTGTCGTTAAACATCAGAGTTAATCAAATCGTGCTAAATTGTAGTGTTTTCGACCACTTCAGACGAACTCCTTACACGAGAATTAGCCTGCTCGCTAGAACTGAGTTCTTGCTCTATCACTGTGGAAGAAGTATGCGAAGTTGTGGTACGACAGTTGTTGCTCGTTGATGTTCTGCCATACAAATAACTGTTTTCACAACCGAATTGTTTCAGCAGTAATCGTATGATTCTTCTCTTGCAAACAAATACAATGAAAATGATGAGGCCTTGCAGGCCTTCCATTGTATCCATGATAATTAGAACGTAGAATGGCATTTCCTTCCCAATGCTTTGAAGGATCATACTTAAAGTCCATTTTAGGGTCATGTTTATATCCATCAAGAGGAACAGTTTTAGGTACATCATAAATCTGCAAACATATTTATTTATACATGTCTATATACATAATTGTAATTACCTTGACTGCTTATTACTCTAGATAAAATAGTGCTTTCTAAGAATATAAAAAAAATACAGAACAGAAAATTTGATTTATTATAAATGATGTATTATAAACATTTAAAGTAATTAATATTTAGTGAAAATAAAAATTTTACAAAATTTTTTAATTATTATTTGTATAGATTTAAATAACATTTATAACTAAAATAATCATTTAATTAAATTATATAAATTAATTTAATCTAAAGAAATAAGAGGAAGATCAATTTTTACTCTTGGAAATTTGAATTATAGTTTTACATGTTCTCTTAAAAAATTTAAAAAATATGTGTATAGTTATTGCGTATAAATGAATAATAGTGCATATATACCTTTGCTTATCATGAGTATGGCGTTTGCTTTCTGCATCTTTTAGAAAACGGTCAGTGTCCTTTGTGACGTATACAATGTGTAACATTGTAAAAATAAAAAAACATATATTGCAGATAATAATAATACTTACGAGTATGTCAAAGTATGCAACAAGTGCGTAATGCGCTGAAATAAAAAAATTAAGTTCTTACATTATCTGTAGGATGTGCACACATAAATTCAGTTAAAAGTTTAAAATTTAATTAAAGACAATATGGCGATTGTAAGCCATTTATTATAAAATTACGCGACTCGGGATAAAAATCATGTCAAAGTAAAATATTTTAAGTGGTTTTCTAGATAATATATTGAAAACTATTTTCCAAGAAATAATAATAACTTATCATTCATCAAACATTACACACATATAATGTTTATTAAATTTTTTTTGCAATTTTTCTGAAATTAATTTTAGCAAGAAAAAGCGTCAGCATAATATAAAGAATTGTAGTCACACTATCGTGTTAAGAACTTCAATAAATTATTAGCATCAATAGAGAGTAAAATATGATTATTACCAAATCCGAAATTCGACTCTTTGCAGATATTTGGTCGAATATCATCAGGCACAAAACGAGGAACAAAGTCCATTATAGTACAAATGATGATGTAAATGCTAGCGATTCCCCACACATAGAACGAACTCATGAGAAACATTTTTTTCTTTGATTGCTTTATGCTTTTTCGTAATATACGAAATGCTCTGCAACATGCGACATAATATAGCTAGTAATAAAAATAAGAAATAACCGTATTGCAAATTTTGATTAAAATAATTTTATCTAAACTTAAGGTAAAGTTTTCTTTACTGCAAGTAGTGTCACTTGGGTTAATCTTTGCATGTATTGCACGGATAACGTACAATTAACTTATAATTAATATTGCAACATGTATTCATAGTTGCAAATATATATCACATAGAATTAATATCAAACTAATAATTTTTCTATAATTCTAAAGTATATTAAGTGATTCAAAATTAAATTATTTCATTTAAAAAAATAGAAGATTATTTTTTGCTATTTTACATATTATATTTTCTTCGATAGTTATTTGATTATCAGTTTCAAGCTCTTTCAGAACAAAATAATATTAAAATTGTATTTGTTCTTTCCAACAAAACTGAATAAAAATTTTAGCTAAGATTATTCTGCAAAGTACTTGGATACTTACCCAAATGTCCGTAAAATGTCGAAACATATCACATTTTGCCATAGCAAGCTCGCCAAATAACAGAAATAGTATAGTAAGGCTGGAACAGTCGAACAAACATATTTTTACACAAACGTAAGCTGCTTATAGATCTGTAAACATGTAAAATAAAGATATTATATATTCATTATTTATCATTGCAATTTTAAAGTTTTAATCATTCTGATATTGTTTAATTATTAGACACAGTAAAAATAGTGCAATCAGTTACGTAGAATGATAAACGCGGCAGCGTTTATTTAAATATTCATACTACAAAAAAATTATTGCTACATTGTTGCATAAACCGTACATTCTGCAACGCAGGCAGGATACGACTCTTCAAAGTAGTCTTTCTCGACGATTAGAAAAATCGTGTGTGCGACGAACAATGACACCACATGTGAACGCAATGCATATCCGTGCATATTTTGAAGTTCTGAACATATTGAATACACGATGAATGTCATCAAAAGACACAACAAAGATGCTATGAAAACTGCAGCGACAACGTCAATATATATTTTTCTCGATTCTTTAATCTGATTTACAATGCCATCGCAGACATCTATATAGCGACGCGAAATATTCAAACACTTAGATATCAATGAAATAAATCTATCGTGACGTGATAAGTTTAAAGAGCTGTTGTCGAAAAACATCGTGTTTTCATTATTCATAATGTCAAATGGAATCTTCTCTTCTGCGCATGAATAGTCAATAAATAAATATGAATATTGGCCAAGCAAGTCATTCAGCGTCAAATTATTATTGTTATTCATAAAATTCTTCATCTTCGCTTCCTTGCAATTGTTTAGAACCAAACTGCAGCAATGCTGTACGCAAGTATCGTTACACATTTCATACAGAACGATATTATGGTCGTCATCCTTTTTGGAATTTCCATCAAGTTCATGCATAGAATTAGTTTCACTTTCATTTTTCACAGAATTTTCGCGCGAATTATAACGCATTAATGTTGTCTGGTTGCCTTGATTTCTCATAGAATTTGCGTTAAGCTCGTATGGCATCGTTGAATTGTCACTCCATTCATCGCCGTTTGTGAATTGTTCCTGACTTTCGTCGTTCTTTCCCAAGGATGTAATTAACAGCAGAAACACGCAGTACCAAAATGCAAAACTTGGTCGATACATTGTCAATGACGCGTCGAATTCACTAAAATCAATTAGTTTTCCTTTTTAGCCAAATACACTGTTAAAACACTTGAATCTATGACAGTTTTGAAGAGCCAAAGATAAATCTGCTTCGGTAGAAGTATGCACGATGCTCATCAGAAAACTGAATGCCAGAAAAACGGGTTTTAAAAATGTTAAATGGTATGCGTTGATAAGGCAGGTTCTCGATTAGTACTAAAATGTTGACAAGAATTGTCATTATTAATAACTATTGTTGATGAAGCTGAGTTCCGGGAGCAGATTTTCCTCAAAATCTTATGCAATGAGTACTGTATTTAAAAATAAATTATCGACGATAATATCACATTCTTATAAATGTTTATCGATTAATAAATAGCCGTCGGCATTCATCGGCTATCATTTGATTATCCATAATTATCATAACCGGCTTGAAGCAGATAGTTTATTTGTGTAGCAAAAAGAAAGAGAAACATTGTGCAGCTTATATAATATAGATTTGCATATCATGCACAAGAATTAAAACTAATTGATTCTTGCATACTGCATTAATTGACACAGTTATAGCTTGAATAATTTATATTTATGAGGTTTAATTAAAGAAATTTATAAACTCAAAGTTATATAGTTTTATATATTTAAAATTATTTATGAACATATATTATAACAATAAAAAAACGATAAAAACGAATATAAGACATTTCGGGGAAATATCTTTCTTTGATTGCTTTACACTTTTTCGTAACAAATTAAATCCTCTGCAACATGTAAAATAATATACTCAACTAATAATAAGAGAGAAATAATCGCATTGCAAATTTTGATTAAAATAATTTCATCTAAATTTAAAGCTGAGTTTTCTTTACTGTAACTACTGTCACTTGTGTTAATCTTTGCATTGATTTTTTACATGTGCTACACAAATAATGGAATAGTACACTTAATTTGTAATTATTGCAACATATATTCATGGTTGTACAAATATATATCAAATATAAGAGTAATTAATTAATATCAAAATAATGACTTTTGTACAATTTCAAAGTATATTAATTCGAAACTAAATTATTCCAATTACAAAATAAAAGACAATTTTTTACTATTTTACATATTTTCTTTAATAGTTCTATTACTTCATTCTTTTCCAATTTTTTTCCTGTTTAAGAAAAAATTGTTTTTAAAATTGTTTCTGTCCTCTCAAAACAAAATTGAATAAAAAGGATTAAATAAAATTTTTATGAAGTACTTGGCTAAATAGAAAATAGTGATAAATAGAAAAAAAACTACCGCTACTTGCTACTTCTTATGTCACGAAGAAATGTTTTACTATACATAAATTACAAATTCTACGTCGATATTTGAGTACAAAAAAATCTATTGTTCATAAATGCAACCATTTATTTAACATAATATTAGTAATACATTTTCCCTTTTTCTTATAAAAAGCAAATCAAAATCGCTCAGATGTTAAGCATACCTGAAGTTCGAGTGTGTGAAAAAATGTGTATTACATAAATAGCAATTTGATTGCAACGTAAATTTCGAGTATGAACTTAATGTATCCAGTTATACAGCCTTCAAGATACATAAATCGTATATGATTACAAAGGGTAGGTTACTCGAAACGGAAAAGAAACCATGTGCAAAACTTCTTGTGTTGAAGTAAAGATTCTGCAATTGTGATAACTGGAATTACATAGAAAGTACTTAATGTTTACGGTATTCCTTCGTATAAATTACTAAAACTTTTGTCAAACTTAATGAAAGATTATTCTAAGCGCCTTATATAATTTAACTGAGATTTTTTGGACTAAGTTCTTACAAGGCACTGTAATCACAAGAGTAAATTCTTATAAATTACTTCGCTTCAGAACTACAACCTTTGGAGACAGTTAGAGCATTTCGCTTTGTCAGAGTTAGCGTGTCGCGAGACACCTTTCATCTTTCAATACAGAAAAAAAGCCTATGACAATGAGATTAAGAACTAAAATACTTTATAGACATATATACAGCATACTTTGCTTGACATTTTTTTTACGAATGGCAAAGCGAAGTAATTGAAGATACAAAGACCATGGACATACTATTTTGTGGAATTTAATCAAATATTAGTGTGTAATTTGCGTGATTTTGTAAATCAGATTCTTTGGAAAGTTGATTCGGCATCATGCAACAACATTAGGCACTGCACTTTGTTATTTAAAAAGAGAAAAAAAAAGAGCATGATTTTTATAATCACAATTGTGTTCCACCATAAATATGAACATGATCTAAATTGTTATGTACAAGTTGATATAATAATTTAGCCATATAATTTATTTCTCATCCCTTTTAATCTCCGGGGGTGTCGTTATTTTCCTCTTGAATAGCAGAATATGTGGCTCTGAAATTAATTAATTCAGTTATAATTTTGTTATCAACATCACATGAATGAAATGTTAAAATGTGTACATACCAGGATCATGAATCATATAATGTACCCATCCTTGACTTTGCTGGACTCCAATGGCTCTCCATTCTTGCTCAGATAGCAGATGAGTTCTTGGTACCAATTTTACCAGCTCTTTTGGCAAAACAACGTGCCTACATAAAAATTATAAGAAAAAGAAAAAAATCAAAATCAAAATAAAAACAAAAAATAAATACATAAAAAAAGAATTTAAAAAATAAAAATAAAAATGCAAGAAGAAAATAAGAATTGATAATAAATGTTTAAACCTATAAATTTTTTACATCAAACATATATATGTATACAAAATAAAATATTCTAAGATTTTCAAGCCAACCTTTTGTTTCATACAAATAAAAATAAATTCTTTTTAATATTTATAAATTATTTTCTAGGTAACAAATAATTATGATATCATATTGAAAAGCAATACATATTTGAGTACAAACTTAGAATAAAGTTTACAACATGCGTTATAAAAGATCTAGAATGTGGGAATTTGATTGTTATATATATATATATAGTCACATATTTGCATTTTTTTCTTTCTTAGAACCAATTTACTCATCTATTTTTAATTTTCTCTTCTGTCTCCATTCATTTTTTAATAATTTGATTATCAAACTAGTAACTGTGTAACACAGTCCACGTGAGAAAAAAAATATGGAGACTAAAGTTGATACTTCCTCTCCACCTTTCATCAAATTTTTGTAGTTTCTAGACAGAAAAGTTTGCAAATACGTCTCAAAAATCATGTTATTTCAATCTCTATTTTCATATACATCATATCTGTCCTTGCACTGCCTATCTTTCACATTAAAACGGTGCTATGTTGGATTTAGCGAAAGTATTATTCCTCCCCCCTCTTTGCACGTTTTTTTTCAAGGCAAAATGTGCACGCTATAAAAGCCAAGGCTAGACATACGAATCCGTGAAATCTGGTCCTTTTAAATGAAATAAAACAATAGACCGAGAACCGGTTTCGAGGACGATGAGTCTAGCAATAATAAAGCAATCTGACAGCCCAATTTTTCTCAATTAGCTATTTAAATGGCGCGTCCTACACACGCTCGCGAGATAAAAATGGAAAAAATGCGAAGAGAAAGAAGTAAATCGGATACACAAAGACGTCACCTAGACTCAACTTGATATTACGTAGGAGACACCATTGTGTAGACTGGCTAGGGACGAATCGTCGATTGATGGACGGGCCACATTGGAATGAAATAGGTCTCATAGAAAAAGGCGTCAGAATAACCTACCTGTACTCGTACTGGTCGTCGTAGTACTTGTCGGAATAGTAGATGTTATGCGGCATCGTATCTTCGGACTCCGTGACGACGGCAGGGAAATTCACGATTGATCGCAAGGCAAAAGGCGCTCACGCGCTCCACTGAGGATAAATACACGACGTGAGCTCGTCCGAAAGCCACCCGCAATGGCGTGCGTACGCTGTCTAATTTGAAAGTTTCAACGGATGTACCGAGCGGGAGCGAGCGGAGAGGAGGCCGGCCTACTCTTGAATCGTTGACGCTTTGAAAGAGGTTTTTATTATACTGCCGCGATGTTTTGCCACGTTGTTGCGAGGAATATCAATATTTCGCGTAATAGAAATATTAATGAATTAACATTGATGAAAATTTTGTTGGCAAGCTACTGTAAAAGTTACTTTTTTTCTTCATTTGCATTCGTTTATTAAGCTCTGATGTTGATTCACGTAGTTGGGATCAGCTGCGTTTATCGTAGCAAGATGGCGTGCTTCTCGATCGTGTAATTTTCTTGCCTGAAAGAGAAAGTAAGGTTAGGTTAGGTTAGTGTGTACAGTGTAATCAGATATATTTTTTTCACGATGCAAAAGTATTCGCGTGAAAGTGATTATAGATCCAGGAAGGAATATGATGATGATTACAAACGTAAGGATCGAACATCGCGAAGAGATCGCGATTACGAGGATCGTCGATCTAAGAGATCGAGTTCGAGATCAAGGCACAAATATTCAGAAAAATCCAGTGAGAGGCATAAAAAATCACGGGACGAAGACTCTCGCTCACATCACGATTCACGGAAAAAGTCTTCCAAGCACAAAAGCCGAAGAAGGTAAATTTTTTTAAATTCTTTAAATTTTTCATGTACTTTTATTTTATACATTGGTGTATCTTCTGTTTAGAGAAACGTCTTCGTCGTCTTCGACCTCGAGCAGATCTAGCGATGTCTCGGATTCGTCCTCGGATTCTACGAAATTGTTGGAAAAACTACAGAAGCAACGACAGAAGCAGATGGAGGAACGCAAAAACCAGAAGGAGATGATGAAAGCGACAGAGACGCCAGAGGAAAAGCGTCTACGTCGCTTGAAGAAAAAGGAAGCCAAGGAACGGAGACGTAAGGAGAGAATGGGTTGGGACAACGACTACTTGCATTACACAAATACGGACAATCCATTTGGAGATGGTAACATCCTGTCCACTTTCGTGTGGTCGAAGAAATTGGGAAAGGAAGGCTTGCTCGGTGTAGGCAGAGAGGAATTGGAGATTCGTAACAGACACAAGCAGGAGGAAAATAAAAGGGAATTGGAGAAGGTGAAGAAAAGGAGGCAAGAGAGAGAACTGGAGCGACAGCAAAGGGAAGAAGAAATGACAATGCTACAAAGAGGTAAAGAAGCTGCACAGTTAGAACAGTGGGCCCGGCAAGAGGATCAATTTCATCTCGAGCAAGCCCGACTGAGATCTCGTATTAGGATCCAGGATGGCCGTGCGAAACCTATCGATCTTCTCGCAAAGTACATCAGTGCGGAGGAGGAAGTTGACGCTGTAGAAATGCACGAGCCATATACGTACTTGCGAGGATTGCAGGTGAAGGATTTGGAGGATCTCATAGAAGATATAAAGGTTTACAAGGAACTGGAGAGAGGCAAGAATTTAGATTACTGGAACGATATTACGGTGATCGTGGAGGACGAATTGCACAAACTCAGAAAGTTGGAACGAACGGAATACGAAGTTGGTAAGAAGAATAACTTTTCTTTGAATGATTTTCTCTCTTTATTTTTATTATTTTTACTTACTTGTGTTATTGATGTGTATAGCTCTGGCAGAAGAACTTATTTTTTATTACTTTTACTTGTGTTGTTGATATATATAGCTCTGGGCAGAAGAGAAGGAATCCACGAGTCGGTTGCCAAGGACGTTACGGCCATTTTTAAGGGCAAAACAGCATCGCAATTGGAAGCCTTACAAATGCAGATTCAGGCGAAAATTACGGGTAAGCCGGAAGGCGTCGACATTGGATACTGGGAGAGTCTTCTGTCACAGCTGAAAGGTAAGACACGATGAATAATTTATGAAATCGTTAAAAAACAGCAAGCAATAATAATGCATGCGATTCACATTAAGTATTGAATATATAGCGCACATGGCGAGGGCGCGGCTGAGAGATCGACATCAAGAGAACCTACGGAAGAAATTGGAGGTTCTAATCGCCGAGCAAGGTGTGGCCAGAACGGAGAACGAAGCTGAGAGCTCGCAAGCGCAGGAGAGCGAGCCCTCCGCAAAGCAGAACGAGCCCTCCACGAGTGCGGCAGTCGAGAAGAACGATAATAGCCAATCTGAGTAAGTATTCTCTCTCTCTCTCTCTCGTATCTATTTTTTTTCCTTATTAAATTATTAAAATATAAACATTATTTATTGAAATTTAATTCTTTGTGATGCAATACATAATTATATTGCACGTTCCAGTGATGATCAGGAGGTGAACGCCGCCGACGATCTACTGTCCGAATCTTTCCGCGATTACGAAGCAGGCAGTTATTCGCCGATGTACATGCCGTACTCGCAGCTAGAACCGGGCACGCTCGTTACGTTGGAGGACGATGACAGTCAGCGATTGGAATACGCGAGGCAGCAGGTGGTCAGCACCGGCAGAAAAATTCAGAACGTTCTGACGGCCGAGGAGCAAGCCATGCATCGGGAGGCGCGCAAGGGAATGGGCTCGGACGAGGCGCAATTCAGCGTCGAATCGTCGTTGGAGGCGCAGATCTATTTATGGTCTGACAAGTACCGACCGCGTAAGCCGCGTTACTTCAATCGCGTGCACACTGGCTTTGAATGGAACAAGTATAATCAAACACATTACGACATGGACAACCCGCCACCGAAGATCGTGCAGGGCTACAAGTTCAACATCTTTTATCCGGATCTCATCGACAAGAATACCACGCCGGAATACTTTCTGGTGAGACATATAATTTTTCTCGCGTGACATTATTTTGATTTTAAATTCTGATAATAAGAAAATGAGATGATTATCTCACCTGATTATCGCTGAGGCGCATCATTGTCTTTCTGTCACGAAAAGGAAAAATAATTAATTTTTAATAAGTACGAGGAAGAAACGAACTCAAATCGATGCGAGAACACTTACTCGGATTATATACTTATTTTCATATATATAAGATAATAGTAATTTAATAATTCAAATAAAATAGATGTTTTAATATAATAAATATCGATATTTCGACAGTTAATCCTCATTAATGTCTATTTTCAGACACCCTGCGCTGATAATAAAGATTTTGCGATTCTGCGGTTTCACGCAGGTCCACCTTATGAGGACATTGCATTCAAGATTGTCAATCGAGAATGGGAATATTCGTATAAACGTGGATTCCGGTGTCAGTTTCACAACAACATTTTCCAGTTGTGGTTCCATTTCAAGAGATACAGATATCGCCGTTAATATAACATATGCATTGTTTATTCGATATTTGTAATTTTATGGACAATTCTTGTATATACTTAAATATGTATTCTAACGTACAATCTACCGTACGTCGCAAATTTTTTTAATAAATTTGTACAAAAAATAAAAAAAATTTACATTAAGCGATATCGATATGAGCATATATCGTGTCTCGTTCCTTTGCTTTGGTCATGTCGTGTTTCTACGACGTAATGCGCGATTTCTTTGGCGATTCCGTGCGCTTTTATCGCTCGCTCGTTTCGAACGACTTCCGCGCGGTGACGAGAAAATACAGCGCACGAAACTATCAAGCGCGGTATAGTCATTTTAAACGGTGGTCGTTGGATCGATTTTCTTGCTACCACCTGTGTACTGTCACACAGTCGACCGCACACTCATAAGTATAGAAACGTGAAAGCTGTGCGAAGCTAATGGCAAGGTGAAATCGAGCTCGCAGTGCGCCGCGTAATTCAGTGGCAAAGGGCTGCGCGTCGTCGGGAAAACTTCCGCATGCGTTCACGCACAATTAAAAATGATTAATCGCGGGAACTGCATGCTATGAGGATCCATTTTTTACGTGCTGCGCTACATGTGCGATGTGAAACAAAAAAGAAATGTCTTGCAGAGCGTCCTACGTTTTTATCGTGAACGATTTTAATGCTGTTATTTTGGCGTCGCGCCGTTAAATTAATAGTAATTGTTACTTGGACTTTTATTTCATCCGAAGATCAGTTGTGATACAAGAAGACATCGGAATATAATCATCACTTGCTCATCGGCTAAAATATTACACGCTAGTGACGTCAACTGATTGACACGCATTCGAACAAAAACGATGCGCGTTTACGTATAGGAGTAAAAAAATCTAGCGGACGTTGCAAAATATTTCATTTGCAGCAGAAAAGACTTTTCAAAATATATGCAATATAAAACGTAAGTTTACTTCTGAAAAACGTTAAAATTAAAACGCGCTTAATTGACAATTTTGATTTTTAATTGATTTTATAGCTCATTGATAAAAGAGTTTTGGTGCGACTTAATGCATTTAGTGAAGAAAATTCGTCGTTAAATATTTTAATGCTTGCTACACGAACAGTGCGCGAATAATTTTCGTATCTGCGATTTGCCAAGTCACGAAGATATCGATAGAATCGTCATGAAGTGGAAGAGAAGACCGTGCGAGTTTCTGTCGCAGAAAACGTTTCTCATAATAAAGGATGACTTGGGTATGTTAAAAGGTAATGCTTATTGTATTTCATCGCGAAATTATCGATGTATCGAGCCAAAATATCACATAAGAAATTAATTTTTAATGCAATATTATTATTTACTATTTGAAATCATTAATATCTCTTATTAAAATTATTAATTTAGACTAGTTGCATTTTATCAAAAGGAAGAGAACATGTTTCTCCTAAAATAGTTTAAATTCACGTCTTAGGTAACTTTTTGACTTCTTATATCGATTTAAAAACAAATCGTACACGAGACAATTTTCTATCTGTGGTCGACTTAAGTTTTTCAAATGTACGGTGATAACAATAATTATGGTAACCCATTAAAGGCTTATTTTTGCGACAAAATCATTTTCCTTATTACGAAATCAAAGATTTTACAATTATAACAAAAAGTTTATAATAGATCTTATAATTTTTCTTTAAACTCTTTAATATTCATCTTCTATATTTTTTTATACTTTATTTCTCGAAATATAATTTTTAGTTATTAGATTGTAACTTTTATGCCCGGTTCCACCAACGTAGATTAATTTTAATCTCGGTTCAACTTACTCTTCATCTTTTTTTAGAATTAGAAAAGATGAAGAATAAATTGAACCGAGATTAAAATTAATCTACATTAGTGGAAATGAGTATTAATGGGTTAACTATTGTATTCATAATAGCGTTTCTCGGTGCACGTCAACGATAAATTATCATTTCTCCAAAAGCAGGCGCGACCAAGACAACAGAGAGTGAAAGAACGGCGGTAGCGAAAAATGTGGCGAATACCGGCACTTGGCCGCCAAAGATGAAGCGCGTGCAAGCATTCTGCGGGGAAGAGGAACCGGAACGGCCAAAAACAGCTAATCTCACGAAACCGAGTGTCCTGGATCCCAAATTGGTAGACAAGCTCGACATGTCATTGCTTAGTAAGGAATTGCTTAGCGATTCGATGACGCGTCTTCATCAATCGCCCATCGCCAAGTCGGCCAGTGGGGGTACAACGACGTCGTCGTCGTCGTCGTCGTCGTTGCTACCGTCACCGTCGTCGGCAACACGACGACGCCAAACCACCACACGGTCGTCTCACGACGACGTCGTCCCAGTGCGTCGCAAGCGACGGAACTTCGAGCAGATTTGCGAGCCGCCGATCCCAGCGAACCAAATGGAGAGCGATCGATCGCGATCACCTGATCGATCAACCGGAAGCCGGAAGACCATGTCGCTTGCGAGCGTCGCGACGCAAGAACACACGTCCGTCAATCGCAACTCTGACGTCAGAAAGCTAGATGACAACAATAACAGGTCGGTGCTGTTGTGATTGTAAAAATAACGAATTAAGAGAATCGCTTATTCGGCAAACATAGAAATAAATGAAAATTTTGTTGTTTTGGGAGAATGATAAAAAAATATCTCAAGAGGTCTGATAGGTCAGCGAGTTTGAACATGAGTGAATTACATTAAAAAAATAAGAGCTTTTTGCATTACTTAAAAATAATAGCGTACTATTTGATTCGAACTGAAACAGTTTAAAATTATTTCGAGGAAATTGTTGATGTACAAGTACGACGAATAATACTTGTAAAAGTAGTATACTTATAAACTTGTAAAAAGTACATAGATGCATATTTCTACAGAAACAAGTTAGCACTGTACGCATTGTAGATAATAACGCTATTATCGAAACATTACTTTGAATGTTTTCTTTGCAAACATGTCAAATTGAATAACATTTTATTATACGTTCTTTCACAAAGACTTCTTCCAGATAGCTGCAGATTTTAAATTTGCAGAATAAATTAGTAATTAAAATAAAAGAAATCTAATCCGATAATAAACTAAAGAACTATTCATTATAGAATTTCTGAAATAAATGTTTGCAGCTTTACATTCAATAGTTCGAAGATTATGAAAACTTGACTTTGCACTTTATCCTTGATAAATAATTACGGTATCAATTTAAAGAATCATGATTATAAATCCTTACTCCACTCGTTCGATTGCATCTGGCATGATATTTACATATCTATATAACCTGTACTTACGCGATTAGAAATGCTCCACCCAAAGTGCTGTCCACGGTGAAGAAGAAGAACTCTCGGGTCGGTCTGTCGAGTGATCTCGAAATATTCACCACCACGTCGACACCAAAGAGCGCTCCGGAGCCCTGCAAGACCTGCGGACGCCCAGACCAGCCGGAGAGATTTCACAGTCATCCGAAGGGCAGTCAGAAAATCAAAGACATTCATCCGTCGCCCGCGACGACGACGAAACCGAAGCCTGCCGTACCGTCAGTTCCAAAATCCATCCAGAAGCCGGTGGCGTTGAACTTTCGCAGCGACCGGAACAAGAATAAACTGGAGGCGATCGAGACGAAGTCGATCGCTTCTTCGCAGAATTCAGACCAGCCGATGAGGCCGTCGTCCACGCCGGTGAAACGTGGCCGTAGGACTGTTACGTGCTACATATGCGGCCGGGAATTCGGCACCGCCAGCTTTCCCATACACGAGCCCAAGTGCATGGAGGTAAGTCCGGCCTCGTTATATTCTGAAACACAATGATTAACGTTATTACAATAATTCGCCGTATAAGAATATATCTGATGAATTTCTCATCGCGCGGTATCGCGTATTTCATCGCGGAAGCGACAGGAGCGGCTTATAACATAATAGTTCTGCAGCGCGCGTGTAATAAGTCAAGGCCCTTTCGCGAAATCGATGATAGTGTAACGCAGCGTTGTTAAACTGTCCGATATCAGATGCATTCACATATGCGTGTCACCGATGCATCGTAGTTGAGAGAATTATAACGTAGCGATCGGTTGCGGGTAGTAATTTGCGCGTGTTTATCCGAGGCGTCTCTGACCGACCGACCGACAGACCGAGCGACCGACCAGCCGCCCTTTCGCGTGATGGATAGATTATTTAAGAGATACTAAGTCTTTTGTACACATTCGCGCGCGCACACAAGTTTAACGTTGCCCGATTCATATCTCACGTTCACGATTCTCGTAATCGATAAGCGAAATTCACATTTGCATGGTCACCTTTAGCGTCGATAGGTATACATCGGCATATTTTAAAATGAGATATATGCAAACATATTGTATACGGTGCAACCACACTAATGCCAATGTGCTGCAATGTAAAATCGATATCATAACTGCATGTCATGCATCATAATAAGAGACTGGAAATTTCTTCCAGCGTTTTTATTAAAAGAATTCCGCGTTCAAGAATCTTTTATTAGTAGTGAAAAATTGATTGAGTCATTCACTTACTATAAATAACGATTCATATTATACACTAATACAATAGTTACGTAGTAAATTAATAATGTAACTTTATTCGCTTGATACTTGCTTATTATTAGGCTGCTTATTCAAACGAAAATCTTTATCACAGAAATGGGAGCGGGAGAATAATTCATTGCCTCCATCTCAAAGACGGCCCAGGCCTCAAAGACCCGTGGTTGGAATCGAACACAACGATTGGAATGCAGCTGCATGGGAACAGAGTCAGGTGAATTTATCACTGCAATTTTAATTAACATTTTAGTATTATTTTTATAACATTTATTATATATAATTTTGTGTGTATATACATATACACTTTCAAATTTGTTTCCGTCTGAATGAATATTTGCGCTTCATTAACTTTATCGGATGATGAGATAATCTTTATTGATCGATGATACAAGAATAAGATATACCTCGCGCATTTGATCGAAAAAATTTGCTTCTAAATTGAACGCTTAATCGTTACAATTAAAAGTTAATATTTAGCTTTGGAAATATGTTTTTTTTTATAGGTCATCTTTTAAAATAGAGTTATATTGTAAATTGTAGTAAAAATATGTATCGTAATTGATGGAGATTTCGTGTCGCTTTTAGTGCGTAATTCTCTAACGTGGAATATTAAAGAATATTAAAGACTGCTTTTTAACATCTCATATGCATACAATTTGCACGAATACATATTGAAGGAGAATTATGCGTCATGCGTGCGCATTTCAACAAATAATGATTATTCGTGTGAAAAATTAGAGTTGTTTTATATTGAATAGCAGATTAAAAATTTTGATGATTTCTGATTCAGAGACTTTAATTGTTAATTTTTGCACAAGCAAAAATATCAATTTAAAAATAGCTAAAAATTAAAAATTTTTTTTTAACGAATAATAATTAGGCCACTACTTAATCAATACTTAATAATATATATAACTAAATATAAATATACATAATTCGATTTTTGTAATTATTGAATTAAAATACAAAAATCTGGATTACCTTTCAGGAGCAATTAATTCCGTGTGCGAAGTGCGGGAGGACGTTTTTACCGGAACGATTGCCGATTCACGAGAGAAGCTGCAAAGCAACTCCGAAGATAGTAGGTTTACTCAATTATTGTTGTATCTTATTCTTTTTTTCACTTCCCTACATTTTTTCTAGAATAACGAAGTAAAACATGAACGATTGTCTACACCATTGGTTAATGCACGCAATATGCCACCCACCGTTCCCTGTCGAGTTTGTGGTCGAAACTTTGGCACCAGAAGCATCAAAATTCATGAGCCTCAGTGCAATAGACGATGGCAAATGCAGAACAATTCGGCGAGTGCGCAGAAAGATCAATCGGCTTCTTATAGGCGAAACTCAGCCAACGACCAGGAAAGTTCATCGTCAACGTTTCCGGTAAGCCCTGAAAAAAACGTACATATGTAAATTTTTATACTTGAATTATGAAGAAATTATTTCTAGCATTATGATCTTATTTGCGAAACACGATATTTCTATTTTATTTAATGTACGATCATGTGTATGATGAAATAATTTGCTATTACAATTTTAATGAAAAATAGCATCGAAGCTAATTATAGCTTTCTTCAAATGGAATGATGAAAATTCTATGAAAAATGAGGATACTGTAAACATCAATAGAGGAAGAAACGACGCACAGCTTGCTTGATTTTAGGATTTATCGCAAAAGAAGACCGTTACGTGTTACATATGCGGCAGAGATTTCGGAACTTCTAGTATCGCCATTCACGAGCCACAGTGTCTGAAGAAATGGCATGCGGAGAATGACAAACTGTCGCCGGCTCGAAGAAGACAGGAACCGCAGAAGCCCGATGTCGTATATATACGTAAGTATACAATTCTTTTTTTATTTATCAGGATGATTCTAATTTAGTTATTGGGACAGGTACCAATAATTTCCAAGTTATTCTCCCTCGACTTTCTCTGTGAAAAAATTGCCATCAAATAAGAAGTACATATAAAAATTTATACAATATTACAAGAAAAGTACCAAATACTTTGCTCTTTCTTTCTCCCCACCTTTCTTTCTCTTTCTATTCTATTCTATATTTTACAAACTCATACATTTTTTTTTATATACAGTTGACAGATTGACGTGATATACGGCTGCCCTTTCATACATATTTCTATCTCCTGTCTTGAGTTTTATTCTGAATTCGCTGTCAGGGTCAAGAGCACATGTATACGAAGTGAATCAATCAGACCGAAGCGATTACGCGCGCATGTATGATACATGAATCCTTAACGTTCGTCGTGTATTGTCATAGGATGGAAGTAGGCGCAGTCCTAATTTAATATACACGCGTCACAGATGCATTCTCGCTTAGGCGTGCCGCCTACAGAAACGACGAATCGATAATCGCTAAACACAAAAAATTTTTGTTTTTTTTTTGTTTGCTGAATTCTTTCTTCATTTAAGAATAAGATAATTTAATTTAATATTTACGATGATTCTAGAATTTGAAAAACAAGAATTTAAATTCCAGAATCATCGTAAATATATAATTTATTTATTAAAAGATATATTTCAGGCAATAAATAATCCGAGGATCCTAATTAATTAATTCATCGCGCAACTCTCTGTTTATTTGCAATGGAAAACTTATCCATAAATTATTTACTTCCGATTTATTTACGCACCTCTTTTTAAAATTTTTACTGCACTTTTCAAGGTACGATACAATCGGCAATGACGACTTCATTGTTCGCAGAGGATCCTCAGACGGGAAATCTGGTGGTCGATCAGGCGGCAACCACTGAAGCTAACTGGGTGACGCATTTGAGCCAGCTCGTACCATGCAAACATTGTGGAAGGACCTTTAATCCTGATCGCGTGAATATTCACGAGAAAAGCTGTAAAGGAAATCGCTAAGTGTTTATTGTGTCGATTTTGCTGGATACGCTAAATTTTGAATAATTTAAAATAAAAATTTAATTATGTAGGCAAACAGTACAGATAGTATGATAAAAATATTGCTATATTTTAGAGATGATTTGTCTGTTTTTATATGAAAATTAATTAATATCAAGTCGCAGCTTTGTAACATAGAATACTTTTGCAGTGATACCGTAAATTTATTCAATTTGCATTTATTTAATTTAATTAATGGTTTGTGCATTTGTTAATTAGTCGCCGCGATAATTAGCGATTTTCTTTCTTCCCTCCCCACCATCCAAATTTTTTATCTATAAAAAAAATGATAATCTAATTAGGAAACCAGTTAATGACCTAAACGTGTGCACTTCGTGTGAGTATAAATGTTATCAGACACTGTTTATAAGTGATGTGTGTAATTGTGATATATGTACAATGCACGTTAATTTTTAGAAATTGATTATATACATATTGTATATACAAGCTCCAGAATTATCGTTAACGCGAACTTTGTCGACATTAATATTGATCCCATCTCAACGAAAAGTTGATCGTGTGGTAATTTATTATAACGCTGAGAGGTTTGTAAGAAATTCGAATGAAAATTTTGTAAAATAAAGCTAAAAAGGAACTTGCTAAGAAATTTGATACTTTACCTCTTTTCGTCAAAGACTATTTCGATTTGCAAAAGCAATAAGAAAGAGGTAAACAGATTGAAATCTGAAAGTGTCCAAAGTAAGATAAGAAATCTGATTTTTGCTTAAAAATCTATCGATTACTAAAGCAAATTAATTAAAATAAGTAAGTGAAGTAAGTAATTACCGTTTCCAATAGCTAGACATCGAAGAATCATTATTGAAAAGATGGCGGCGAGTGTGAGTTTAAGGGCGCATTTTCAAGTTACATTCTAAAGGCGCATTCAGCCAGACCTGCATAAGCGCACATGTGCATGCACAAATGTCAACCAATCACGCGCTTATACCTTAAATATGAATGCAGAATTGTAAACTGAAGTCTTGAGTGTTGAAAGTATACATCGTGCCGTGACGTGCAGCGCATGGCGCGGTCGCATTGGCCGGCCGCGGCGGAGAGGTGGAGACGCGAGTACATGCTGCCGCACCGCGGCGCTCTCTTCACGCATAAGAGGCAGCGTTCGCGTTCGTAGCGGACAGCCTGTTCTTTTCGAGGGAGTACGCCATCGTAGGTGCACGTATATTTCGGATCAGGCTGTCGACAATTGGACAACATCCAAGATGGTACGTAGCCGCGTCGCGATGCGGACGTCGCCGAACGTAGCCGCGCGTCCCCGCGCACGTACAGTCGTGAATATTTTTCGCCCTCGCGGCGAGCACGCTGTCCTGCGCGCAAACGGAAGTTAGCGCGAATCCCCGAAATGCACGAGCATTTCCTCACGACGAGGCGCCTAGCGTGCGATTACTTCGGATTGCGCAATTTATACCGCGTGGAATTTTAGCGGCCGCGTAAAATCCGGGATTTGTTTCCGATACGCTGAATCGCGAGGGGGGGGATGAAACACGCGAGCTCATAAATTTCCATCCGTCCGTCCATCGTGGCGTCACGTCTGCAACGTGTTCCGGACGGAAATATGCTGCGGCCGTATGCGCTCGCAACGTGTCATGGTGCGCTTCGCTTACGCGCCTATAGCACGCGATGCCAACGTGCTCCGGTTCCAACGTTGTTTTCTCTTGATTCTTCCGTCGACGCGACGATAACGTTTTCTTGACCCGGGAAAACCTGCAAAAAAAAAATTATCAATGTCGTGAGAAGAATCTTAAATGTATCGGATGTCTCGCAAATATTGAAAGATGAGACGCTGTAGATGTACCGACGCCCGTGGAATGCGATAATTTTTCCGAGTATCAATCCGAGACTATTCTGGGCGATGAATGTTTTATCGGATGATTGAGAAAAACGTTTCAATATGGTCATTATTACAATTTTGTACAGATTTTTTACTTTACCGTTGCATAAAGACTAAAAGAAAATATATATGTATATATATATATATATACGTGATTTTTTTATATCTTTTGTATTGTGAAAAAAAGTTTTGGTGCAATCTGCAACTTAATTGTTTTTTCTATTTTTTTCATTAATTTTTTCCGATGTTGCAATATGTTGCAACTACGTGTGCAATCGCATATATCTTGTATTACTCATTTGATAATGTGTTGAGATGTTTATTTATGTGTTGTATTCATGCGTTTCATAAATTTTAATAAATTTTTGTTAAAAATAAAATTTTATTTTATTTAACAGAATATCATCTGTTTGTATAGAGAATAGTTTTCATTGTGAAATCATGTTACAGGTGAACTTTACGGTAGACGAGATCCGTGCCATGATGGACAAGAAAAAGAACATCAGAAACATGTCCGTCATCGCGCACGTAGATCATGGAAAATCGACACTGACCGACTCCCTTGTTTCCAAGGCTGGCATTATCGCCGGCGCAAAAGCTGGCGAGACCCGTTTTACTGATACGCGCAAAGATGAGCAGGAGCGTTGTATCACCATCAAATCTACGTAAGTCTCATGATACAACATCAACAATCGATTTCTGAATTTTACATTCATTATTGTCACGCGTTAATATCACTCATTGCTTTTTTTTTTAGTGCAATTTCCATGTTCTTTGAACTTGAAGAGAAAGATTTAGTCTTTATCACAAATCCCGATCAACGTGACAAGGAGGAGAAGGGCTTTTTAATTAATCTTATCGATTCACCTGGACATGTAGATTTTTCAAGCGAGGTCACAGCTGCCCTCCGTGTTACCGATGGAGCTCTCGTTGTCGTTGATTGTGTATCCGGTATGTGTCGTGATTTTTTTAGCGTTCGCTCATATATTAGTTTCTTTGGTGTCAAACGGATTGCTCTTCCAGCACACAAGGGTTACTCTGCAGTATGTCGCTTGGTTTGCGTAAACTGACCGATATACATTGATAGTGTTGACAGTGCAATGGAAGAAGAGTAAAGATGCAAATGTGTCCTAACGCTGTTAGTGGACCTCTATCTTTATGTCCGTTACTAATATGCTACAGCACGAGTGCTACAAATTTATGCCCATTATTTATAGTGTTAGCGTATTATTCCAAATTATTCATAATTTTAAATCGAGTCATAAACAACTTTTATCGCGATATTTAAGAAACGGAAATTATAATTCAACAGTACAATTTTTTTTACGAAACAATTTCTTGAAGGAAATAATTATTTACTCATCTCTTTTTAGGTGTGTGCGTACAAACTGAAACTGTACTGCGTCAGGCGATCGCTGAGCGTATCAAGCCTGTTTTATTCATGAACAAAATGGATCGCGCACTGTTGGAACTTCAGCTCGATAGTGAGGATCTTTATCAGACTTTCCAGCGTATTGTTGAAAACGTTAACGTCATTATTGCGACATATTCTGACGATGACGGTCCCATGGGTGAAGTTAGAGTAAGTAGAATAAATCCTGGAATAAAAAAAATCTCGTAAAGACAATTATTATATGTAGAACTTCTAAACATTATATGCGTGTTTTTAAAACAGGTAGACCCCAGCAAGGGCTCCGTAGGTTTTGGTTCCGGTCTCCACGGCTGGGCTTTCACCTTAAAACAGTTCTCCGAAATGTATGCCGAGAAGTTTAAGATCGACGTGGTCAAGCTTATGAACAGACTGTGGGGCGAGTCTTTCTTTAACCCTAAAACCAAGAAATGGAGCAAACAAAAGGAGACAGATAACAAACGATCTTTCTGCATGTACGTCTTAGATCCAATTTATAAGGTAAGTTCTCGTAGTTGTCAGTGCTGTGTTAAATTACTTATAATTATAAATTATTGAAAATTATACTTTTTATTTGTTTACAGGTATTTGATAGTATTATGAATTATAAGAAGGAGGAAGCAGACAATCTTCTGCAAAAATTGGGCATTGTACTGAAGCCCGAAGATAAAGACAAGGATGGAAAAGCCTTGTTAAAGGTGAGCTTCAGACAATTTTTGTACACATTTATTTAACATAAATATGTATATAGTGATGATTTTTATTGCTTACTTCTGACACCTCTTCTGATTTTTATAGTGAGGGAGTATTAGCATCTGAGAAATATTCGATAAGCGCGCGTCGTTTTATTTATTTTGAAACACGCATTTAAATCGCGTTGTACGATTTTTCCAGGTTGTTATGAGAACATGGTTACCCGCCGGAGAGGCTTTACTTCAAATGATTGCCATTCACTTGCCGTCTCCTGTAACCGCTCAAAAATACCGGATGGAAATGCTGTACGAGGGACCTCTCGACGATGAAGCTGCCATTGGAATCAAGGTTTGTGATATGTGCTGGTTTCTATCAAGCATTTTTGAAGCACACATGATGATTTATTTCACAGACCTGTACTGAAACAACAATGAATGAACATTGAAATACTGATTTACAAATTTAAAGAAAATTGTGTGAATAATGATGTCAGCACGTTCGCGTTTATTGATTAAATCGAATCTTTTACAGAATTGCGACCCGAATGGACCTCTCATGATGTACGTTTCCAAAATGGTACCCACATCAGACAAAGGACGATTTTATGCTTTCGGCCGAGTATTTTCGGGCAAGGTGTGCACCGGCATGAAAGCTCGCATAATGGGGCCCAATTTCCAACCGGGCAAAAAAGAAGATTTATATGAGAAGGCAATCCAACGTACTATTCTCATGATGGGTCGTTATGTTGAAGCAATCGAAGATGTACCATCTGGTTAGTATCAGGGTCTGAAATATCCGATTTTTATTTGTGTATTTTACATATGCTTGCATGATGATTGTTCTACAGACCTGTTCTGATATCGATGATTGACAATAGAACGGCCAGCTGATTTAATTAAAAATTAGGATTATTTATTAGTTATATATCCGCATGTAGCTAATGATTTATTTGATAATTTACAGGCAATATTTGCGGTCTTGTCGGTGTCGATCAATTTTTGGTGAAGACCGGTACGATCACGACATTTAAAGATGCGCATAACATGAAAGTTATGAAATTCTCTGTGTCGCCCGTCGTGCGTGTCGCGGTCGAACCGAAAAATCCTGCCGATTTGCCGAAATTGGTTGAAGGTATATAAACCTTTTACATAATCAATAGCATTTCAACATGTAATCGAGTTTCTTACTTCAGCTTGCATGATGATACTAGCATTGGGCTATGACCGATTGTGATTAAAATTTTTCCATCTGAAACGAATCATTGTTCAGTATTTATCTTTGACTGTTTCATTCGTATGTGTAATGGTCACTTTGAATTGAACAGGACTCAAACGTTTGGCGAAATCCGATCCTATGGTGCAGTGCATCATTGAAGAATCCGGCGAGCACATTATCGCCGGTGCTGGAGAATTACATCTTGAAATTTGCTTAAAGGATCTGGAAGAGGATCACGCGTGCATCCCGATCAAGAAATCTGATCCTGTTGTGTCATACAGAGAAACAATCTCTGAACAGTCGAATCAGATGTGTCTGTCGAAATCTCCGAACAAACACAATCGTCTGTTCATGATGGCTTGCCCGATGCCCGATGGACTCGCTGAAGATATTGACAGTGTAAGTTGATTTTTTTTTTCCAGAAACCTATTTACCACAGCGTTATATTGAAATTGAAAAGATAAATTCTTAATGAAAACGATAAAATAATGTTCATTGTAAATGTTAGCGCAACAGCTCGATATTTAACCATCGAAACGACGCTTTGAGTTGAAAATAAATGTCCACAGGGCGAAGTTAATCCACGAGATGACTTCAAGGTGCGCGCGCGTTACTTGAACGAGAAATACGATTACGACGTGACGGAAGCTAGGAAAATCTGGTGCTTCGGACCCGACGGCAGCGGACCCAATATACTGGTTGACTGCACCAAAGGAGTACAGTACCTTAACGAAATCAAGGACTCCGTGGTAGCTGGATTCCAATGGGCCACGAAAGAGGTGAAAACCCGTCGACAAAGGACGATGTTTTAACGCGCGTTTATCGACCGTAACTGTTGTGTCTTTGTCAGGGTGTTCTTTCGGAGGAGAATTTGAGAGGTGTACGTTTCAACATTCACGACGTGACGTTACACGCCGACGCAATCCACAGAGGTGGTGGTCAAATTATCCCTACTACAAGACGTTGCCTTTATGCCTGTCTTCTCACTGCCTCACCCCGTTTAATGGAACCCGTTTACTTGTGTGAAATTCAGGTAAATCATCATGCCATTTCGATAATAATTCACGTCGATTTTGCACGAATCATGCTGTTACAATGACAAATGATCATATCGTCGATTTTCATGAGTCATCGATAATTAATTTCGAATGATCTGTTTATAGTGCCCGGAGGTAGCAGTCGGTGGAATTTACGGCGTGTTGAACCGTAGGAGAGGTCACGTATTCGAGGAACAACAGGTGGCGGGTACTCCCATGTTCGTAGTTAAGGCTTACCTTCCCGTAAACGAATCTTTCGGCTTTACCGCTGATTTGCGTTCCAACACCGGCGGTCAGGCTTTCCCACAGTGCGTGTTCGATCACTGGCAGATCCTGCCGGGTGATCCGATGGAGACCAGCTCTCGACCTTACCAAGTCGTGCAGGTATATATACGTATTTCATTCTCTTTTGGTCTCACCACGTGCATAACTGATGGCGGCGACAATTTCACTGCGTCGTCATTTTTAATCTCGTGGAAGAAAAAAGCGTTTTTTAGTTTCGGTGTTCCAGTAGACTATTCTGGTTTACCTGAATAGGGAAACGTACATCTTTTTGTAGGAATAAATTCTTAGATTGTGATTCACAAATTTATGAAACAATGCAATTTATCGCAGTTGTATAATTAGATTAAAACACTAATGAAAGAAATTTTGTGTTGTAGGATACGCGTAAGAGGAAGGGATTGAAGGAGGGTCTCCCAGATTTGAATGCATACCTTGATAAATTGTAACCTCAAATTCGCACTTCATATTTAAATACTTATTTCAATATCATAATTCGATTAATATCGCTGGAGATGTTGTACACAATTACAACAGCGGTTTACTATGACCGTTGTTTCGCGCCTTTCCAGCGATATTAGCTAAATTAAAATATTTAAATAGCTATCTATTCGACCGGTTCCCAAAACAATTATTAATATTAAAAAGGAAAAATCATCACAACAATGTACTCACATTACAAAAAAATATCAAGAAATTAAAGGTTACAGTTAAATAGTACAAGCGGTGAGCGCTTTTATTTCCTCTGCCTACATTCGCAATATTGATTATTATTTAAATTTACAAGCAATTTTTCTTTTTTAATGTACAAATATTTAGACATTAGTTTTTATATTATTATCGAAATTATATTCGTTACATTTTTTTCTGATTTTATTTTTTATTCATTTTTCCTCTCACATTATCTTCCTACTACCTCACACTTGCTTGACTACACGAGACCACGTCTCGAAAGTGAATTAAAGACTTGTTTTAAGTTTGCAAGCAATTTTTCTTTCTTAATGTGCAAATATTAAGCACTAGTTTTTATATTATTGAAGTTATATTCGTTACATTTTTTTCTGATTTTATTTTTTATTCATTTTTCCTCGCGCTATCTTCCTACTACTTCACACTTGCCTGACTACGTGAGACTACGTCTCGAAAGTGAATTAGACTCTCCTGTTTAAGTTAATCAAAGCATTATGTTATAAAGAAACGAGATTAGACCTCTGATGGCGATGGAAATTGGATCGAGATAAAAAGCGATGAGAATTATTTCTTCGTGGTGCATTGTGGCGCCGTGGAGTCTCGGAGTTTCATGGGAATCACCAGTATTGGCTCGTTACACTGCGGTCTGTCCGTGTAAATAGACCATGTTCGCTCGATACAGTCGAAGATACCTGCAGTTAATAAACTTTCAAATACTTAGCGAATAGTCCCGGAAACCTTCTGCAATCTGTTCTCACGCGCAAGATGCAGAATTTATTTACATTCAAGATATTCAGGTCTTTGTGATTTTATAAAGTAAATTCTGATGTACAACAGAACCAAACATAATCATATGGAATCGCGCTTGGATTTTCTTTATATAACACGATCTCTATACGATAGAAAAATAATCTTACATAAGTCTGACGGGATATTTCTTGTGCTATTTATTCTACAGTGCTTCCTGTTTCTAATAAATATTTGTTAGTGAATGCCCATCAAGCTTGTTAGATCCCGTAAATCAGGATACTTGGAAGAAATAATTTATAAAGTTTTTTTATTGAAGTACGGATCTTTAGTAGGGTCAGGAATAAAAATCCGAAGAGTTCTCACTTAGTCGGTAGATAAAACATCCCCTTTTTCGCGAAAAATTACCTTCAGTGGAAAAATTGTGCTAGTTTTTTTTAAATTAATAATATTAAAGCTCCAATAAATTAACAAATAATCTTGGGAGAAAAAGGCAAAAAGAGCCGTTGCTAGGTGTTCGTGCAAAAATTAAATTATATTATAAAAATTACAAAGACAAACGTTTCTGCTTATATTAGGCCTTTCTCAGTGTCGTTACAAGTAAAATTTATAATAATAAACGGTATCAAGTGTCGAAGCGTCTAGCAAACATATAAGACGAAATACGCAAGGTATTCTTCAAAAATAATTTCCATATAGAAAGATTGATAATAGGAACAATATTACCAGTAAATAATAACGAAACTGTATGTCCAATAAAGAACATGGAAAAGTCAGAGACCAGCATTATCCATCAATATGCTTTCAAAGTTCGTGGAGAAATTATTTGAAAAGCCGAAAAGTTAAATAATTTTTCTATGAACTTTGAAGAAATATTGATGGATAATGCTGGTCTCTGACTTTTTCATGTTCTTTATTAAATATACAGTTTCGTTATTATTTAATACGGGTAATATTGTTGTAGTGCCATTATCAATCTTTCTACATGGAAATTATTTGTCATGAAGAATATCTTTTGTCTTTCATCTTATTTGTTTATTTAACGCTTCGACACTTGATACCGTTTATTATTATGAATTTTACTTGTAACGACAATGGGGAAGGCCTAATATAGGCAGAAACGTTTGTCTTTGTAATTTTTCCCCATTCTTGCAAATGACGTTCGAAGTTGAAGGTAATTTGGAGCAGCGCGCAGCCAAAAATCAGTCTAATGCGGTTCTTTTTTGCAAACGTGCATTTCGTAATTTTAAAATTTGCTTATTTCTATTGGCTATTTTTTTCAGACGTCGAATACCTTTAGAGTTGACCTTTGGAACACCTGCTCGAGGCAGCTTCCTTAATAAAACGTAAATAAAACGTAAATAAACGTAAATAAAGGTAGATAGGTAAGAAGGGTCTTATTTATTTGTTTCGCCTATTTCCGTGAAATATTAAGTCATAAAATACGATTGCGCAGAGCAATACATTTAAGAAAAATAAAAAAAAGAAATAGAAAAAAAAAATCTAAGAAAAACTGTTTTTTTTTCAATAGACGAAAATGCTGTGAAGGTGTTTTTATAGATATGCAGACCACAGGTGATTGCTTCATTTACGAAAAGATGCTTAAAGACAGTGCAACGTACAGTGCTGTACGTGTAGAAAAAGATGTGGCGAATTTAATAGCCATTAATAAAGCTTGAAAAGACAAAAAATATGAGTAGCTCCAAAATATTACGGCTATAACCGTCCATAAAATATGCAGGCGCGAATATATCAAAAGGAAAAATATATGTAATTTTTTGGAGAAAGGAACGGAAAGCAGCGAAGAAGATAAAGAAAGTTAAGATCTCTTGAACAATTTGGTTTTAAAAATAACTTTGTTTTATGCAGAAAAATTTAATATTTTAGTGGAAAAAAAGAAAAACATTCATAAACTAATGTACGAAGTTCTATCAAAGACAGAATTTTACAGAGATGCGCGAATAAAAATGATGAATGGGGCGAAGCTGTGAAACGCGTGAACAATATGATTTATTTGCAGCCAGTGATGCCATTTCGAGCATCATACGCATACACCGAAGAACCACGTACATGTGTTGCATAAAGCGTCTTGCGGAGCTTTTAGCTCTGAAAAAACTGAGCGTATGAAAATTGTGGAAACAACGGTAATAATTGATTCTTCTTTTTCTTTTCTTTTATTTTCCTTTCATTTTCCTTAAGTATACTACTCTGCGCAGTATTTCACGGTTAAATGTTTCACGAAAATATTTCAGACCTTTCTTATCTGCCCCTTTCACTTATGTTTAAATAAGAATGCCTCGAGCAGCTGTCCCAAAGGTAAACAATGGTATTCGACGTCTGATAAGAAAAGAAACATACAAAATTAAAAATTACAAAATGTACGTTTGCGAAAAAAACCGCGTTAGTAGACTGGTTTTAGGCTGCGCGCTCCAAACTATCCTCAATTTCGAACTGTTTCTATTAATTTTTTCGTCAGAACAACGGTTTGAAAGAAAAATGAAGAAAACTAGCACAAAGTTTTTACTTTGGGGTGGTTTTACGCAAAAAAAGGGATGTTTCATTCACCGGTCAGGTGGGAATTATTTGGATTTTCACCCTTCTGAATCCGTACCTCAATTATGAGAACTTTATAAATTACTTCTCTTATTCACCCCTTTTTTAGTCTAATTTGCACGTATTATATGCTTAATTTAAAGCAGTGTTTGGGATTAATTCAGCTTTTCAGTCGATTCTCGAGATTGACGCTTTCTTTTTCTAGCTTATCGCGCGCGCCGCAGTCGTTGAGGCCAGAGGTTGGTCTTAAAAGCTGCGGCGCGTGCGATAAGGTGGAAAAAGGTGGCGTCAAACTCGAATCGACTGAAAAGCTGAATTAATCCCGAGCACTGATTGAAAGAGATACCTAAAGCTACAAAAGCCAGGGCCAGTAAGCCTGGCTTAATTTTTATTTTACAAACGTGTTGTTTACGACATCAAAAACGTTTCGGCCATTCAGGTTGTGAACATTTTCAGTGTGCTCATGTTCAATTTCTTCAAATATGTCTAATTATGACGCATCTGTATATAGTCTGTATCTGTATATTTAAAACAATTTCGCAGTAATCCCGTTTTTCATCGAACTCGGTCACATACGCTTTTTTAATGCAATCTATTTCTTTCCCACGTCATTCCTTTCCATTGAAACATTCTTTGTTCAGTTAGTTAAACATATCTCTCAATGCATTGCATTATTTAGTTGATTCGAATACAATTTTACATCTACGACGCTTATGATTTAAATTAAAATATCCTTTGTCCCGATTCTCATTAAATTCAATTACATATGCTTTTTTCATGTGACGATCCACGCTATTTATTCTTTTTCATTAAAATATTCTTTGTCCAGTTAGTTAAAATATCTCTCAATTTATTCCACCAACGTAATTGATTAGGATACAATTTTATATCTACGACTTATTTCGATATAAAATTATATTTTAATTAACTAAATTGATGGAATGAATTGAGAAATATTTGCAACTGACAGGGCAAAGAATATTTTAATGAAAGAGAATCAATACCGTGGATTCTCAAATAAAAAAAGCGTATGTAACCGAATTCGATGAAATATAGAACAAAGGATATTTTAATTTAAATCATAAGCGTTGTAGATGTAAAATTGCATATAATCAACTAAATTAATGTAATGTATATAGAAATATTTTTAACTGACTAGACAAAGGATATTTTAATAGAAGGGAATAAATAGCGTGGATTCTCACATCAAAAAAGCGTATGTAACCGAATTCGATAAAAAATAGAACAAAGGATATTTTAATGTAAATTATAAGCGTTGTAGATGTAAAATTATATCCTAATCAACTAAATTAATGCAATGAATTGAGGGATATTTTTAACTAACTGCACAAAGGATATTTTAATAGAAGGGAATAGCGTGGGTCCTCACATAAAAAAAGCGTACGTAATCGAATTTGATGAAAAATAGGACAAAGGACATTTTGATGTAAATAAGCGTGATAAATGTAAAATTATATTCTAATCAACTACATTAATGGAATGCATTGAGAGATATTTTTAACTAACTGCACAAAGGATATTGTAATGAAAAAGAATAGCGTGTATTCTCACATCAAAAAAGCGCATGTAACCGAATTCGATGAAAAGTAGGACAAAGGACATTTTGATGTAAATTATGAGCGTGGTAGATGTAAAACTATATTCTAATCAACTACATTGATGGAATGAATTGAGAGATATAAACAACTTTAAATATAAACACATATAATGTAAAGGCCCTATAAATTCAAGAAATATAATAGAATGGCATCATGAGCCGTCGCAGGATGTTAGCGCTAAATTTTTAATTTTTTTATAAAGAATTTTTAATAAATTAGTCTACAAGAGACAGTTAGATTGTAAACCAATCTCAGATCGATATACCTACTGTGTACGAAATTATAAGTATATTGTTCTCATATATCGAAAAACTTTAACTTATATATAGGAATTATTGGAAAGAAAGGAAGAAAGAAAAATATCAGGGCG